GCAACCGATGAGTCGTCGCTAGCGTACTTGAAGCGGATGGTTCCCTCGACGCCGCCAGCAGTTGCAGCATCGAAGCGATAGACAAACACCGGTTGTGCAGCAACGAGAGAGATAACCGCATAGAATGCAGCAACAAGAAAGAAGTTCAATGTCATAACGGTCGACAGGGAATTGAAAAAATGGTGTTTGCCTATACTACTAAACTACACGAGTTATCAGGAAATTGCTAGATGAAAACTCGACGAGAGTTGCATGTATTTTCCTAAAGTTTGCAACGAAAACTCTTTTTTTCTTAGAATCTAAACCATATACTTGTCACCTCTTAGACGCCGCATCCAGCAGGAGTGGACTGGTCCGGGGAATTCTGGACGGGAGTCGACTGGTCGACCTGGTTAGCGTCACCCTCGACCTCCGTTCGGTGGGCGCAGGAAATACGAGACTCTTGTCCGCACACGGCGTGCAGCACGATGCTCCACGACTCGGTGTTCTCGGATGGCAAGGGGAAGTGCTCGTCCGTCCACTCGCTCTTCACAGTGGCGTCCTCGGCCAGCTTGAAGGCACCGAACTTGCCGGACAGATCGCCCTTCTCACACGCCAACGGGTTGGCCGAGTAGTTGCCCGGGTTGCAGGCGTAGTCCTTGATCTTGGCCTCGCACTCAGGCTCAGCGTTGTACTCCGACACGGGGCCACACGCACGCAACGGGTCGTAGTGGAGGCCAGTCGCCGCCTTCGCGCACTGCTTGAACGAGTCGGAAGAGAGCGTCGAGTTCCACTTGGTGTGAATGTGCCACTTCCAGCTCGTCACCGTGTCCATGGTGCAGTTCTGGTCGAACGCCACAATGTCGGACTGGTTGACACGGGAGAAGTCGAGAGCAGCCGTGATGGTGGCAGTAGACGAGTTCTCGCCGGCGTACTTGATCTGGATGGTACCGTCGACGCCAGCAGCGTTAGCCGCGTCGAACTTGTAGACGTACGACGGCTGGGCAGCCGCAACAGCGAGAGCACCGGCGAAAGCGCAGGCAGTACCAAACGAGCGGACCATAGTGTTGGTGTAGTGAGAGGTAGAAGGTTAATCTGGAAATGACCCCAACTTGTCGATGAAAACCTGGTGGTGGTGAGCCCCAGGGCGCATGTTGCCTTGCACCAATTGCAAGCAAGCTGGCATGTCTCGGAGATTCATGGGCACATCCGGAAGGCACTAGCACCGTGCATTGCATTGTTGCGCTGTTCGCGACTGCCGAGGTTTCGCCTTTTTAATCTCTTCAATCGTGGAGATAACCAGTTTAACGAGTGCATAGACCCCTGGAAAACTTCAACAGATGCGATCAACATGAGAACCAGTGGATAGCCGAGCTTCGACGAAGAGCTCGAAGGAGGTGGAGGAACTTCCTCCTCCGAGGACATTTATCGCTTGATGCAATGGTTTTTCGTTTTTGTTAATCAAATTATGCTGGAGCTTTCACTATCGAAAGGCTTAAAAGAGGTATATAAAAGGTTAACCTTTTACCATTCAGCTTTCGAACCTATCGTCACCAAAAACAAGCATCTTGTTGTCCTTTCTCTTAGAATTAGCCGGAGTTTTTTTCAGCATGAAGCTGCAGATGAAGCAGTTTGGCAGTTCGACCACTCATACGAAGCTGACTCCACAATGTAGAGGTTCACGGGCGATTCGAGATTCACTGGTGCAAATGGAAATCTCCTTACGTTTAGCCTTCACTTCGAACGCTGTTGCAAAAAAAACAATGATTCGGGGAAGTACTGTACGATTAATCCGAAGCATTACATGTAGGGTAGTTAGTTACTTGCTTCAAAGTCCGAAGTCAGCGCGAAAACTTTGAGTTTGACAATCAGACTGACTCATCGACAAGCTCTCCATCTTCTGTACGGTTTCGCTACTGCCACGCAAATCTCCGTGGGCAAAAGATGCGTGCGCGTTGTCGCTGGCGGCGACTCCACGAGCGAGTCCGTGTGGAACATTCAGGAAGCGATGGCTTCCTGTGAACCACTCGCTGGTCTTTTCGTGTAAATTACACGGTGTGATTTAGATACATGTAGAGCAACCTATCCATACATAAGCTCGATACTCGATCAAAGTGCTTTTACAATAGATGAGTTTTCACTCTAAGCTGAAGAGTTTGATTGAAAGGAGAAAGTTGTGCGAGAGCAACTTAGTCGCAGAGAACACACCAAAGACAAAGTTTGACAAGTATCGTATATTGACGTCACCAAGCATATAAAGACAGAATTTCGGAGTACTGCGTTGGTCACTCGGAGCCAATTAGTCCTTCTTCACACCGCAGTCACCGCCACCAGTGGACTGGACGGGGGTGTTCTGGGTAGGCGTGGACTGGTCAGCTTGTTCCGACGATTCACCGTCACCCTTGGTTCCAACCGCACAAGAAATGCGAGGCGCCTCCTTGCCGCACACAGCGTGAAGTACAATGCTCCACGTGTCCGTGTTCTCCGACGGAAGCGGGTAGTGCTCGTCCGTCCACTCCTCAGTCACAGTGTTACCGTCACCAACCTTGAACGCACCGAATTTGCCCGCCAGATCACCCTTCTCGCACACCTTGGGGTCGGTCGTGTACTTTTCAGGGCTGCATGCGTAGCTCTTGGACTTCGCCTTGCACTCCGGCTCCGAGACGTACTCGGACGCCGAGCCACACGCCTTCAACGGGTCGTAGTGGTTGTCCGTAGCTGCCTTGGAGCACTGTTTGTACGAGTCCGACGACTGCGTCGAGCTCCACTTGGTGTGAATGTGCCACTTCCAGCTCGTGACGGCCTCGGTGCAGTTGCCGTCGAACTCGGCGATCTTGGCCTGGTCGACGCCGGAGAAGTCGAGGTTGGCGGTGATCGTCGCAGTGGACGAGTCTTCGCCGGCGTATTTGACTTGGATGGAGCCGTCGACGCCACCGGCCGTAGCCGCATCGAACTTGTAGACGTACGAAGGTTGGGCGGCCACAACGGCGAGAGCCGCAGCGAAGGCGCAGGTGGAACCGATGGTGTTCAGCATGATCAAAGCACGAGAAGAAGAGCTTGATGGGGAGAAGGTGAATCGGCGAATGGGGGCAGTCAGGAACCGATCCGAATGCCGCTTGCCTCGAACCAGTTGAGTGTTCTTAGCATGTCTCGAATCTCTCGGTGGTGACACATCCAGGAGGCACTTGCATGCACTTGCGATTTTAATCGGAGCGTAGTAACGTTAAACAAATGCATAGCCTCCAGGAAACTTCAACAGATTGCCAGGACCGGGTGCTTTGAGTTGTGGCGCCACGTGACCTCGTGGATAGCCGTCAACTCGAAAGGTACAACACACTTGCTCTCGTGCTTCTTTGGTTACGGACAGTATGAAGCGTACCGTGTACGTGTAGAGAATCGCTACATGTATATAGATATAGAGATTCCTGGAGCTGCTTCTTCAAAGCTTTGATCAAAGTTTGAGTTCTACAGATCTTCTTCGGCATCACGACAAAACCGGACAATGTTTCAAGGCATCGGATGAAGCGGTCGAAGTTCGATTCCAAGCTCGTGTACATGGTACAGTACTGCACCCCATTTTCGCGCTCTTGGACTATTGATAAACTTCCGGATATAATGCTCTTTGCGCAAATTTCCTATGACTTATCTGCTGAAATCTGATGTGTTTGCAAATCCTATATGGTCCAACCCCAAGAAACGGGGTGGAGGTCTGTACTTTGGCAGTGGTAAGGAAGGTGGGGAGCCTACACCCGCGAATTTCGTCAACATGTACCCTGCAGGCAGTACAGGGTTAAGTAGGGCGTAAGCTTACCATTGCCAAGTCTGGATTTGATGGTAAAGGGAGCTTCCGTTCCGTTGCGTCGCACCGTTGGTGTTCCCACATGAACCCCCTTCGTTCAGACATGTGCATGAGACAACAGGCGTCTGTGAAAGCCTCGGCGAGCTTCGCACGTAACCGGGGTGAATGATAAGTTACGCCTCTCGATCACCCTGCGTAAGCTTTACGGTAAAGATCCGAGTGTATACAAGTGGATGAATGCTCCTCCTTACGCAGACTGTCACATGCAACTTCAACTTGGGTCATACTGAAATCGAGATGTTTTGTCCGTTACACCAATCGATTGGTGTTGGATCGTTGATAAATTTATAGTTTAGCTCTGCAACCCTTAGCCGGATTGATATCGGTGAAGTTGTGGCGGGCCCCTCGGAACGGGAGGTGGCTTCGAGCGCGAGCGGATAACGGGTTTCCGCTCCTCAATAGTGATCGTGGCCTCTCTGGGCGTCAATCGGATCATTTCTGTGCCGCGAGGAGTAGTGACCCAACTCTGTCTGGCCGAGTAAGGCCCAGGACTCGACTGCTGAGTCTCCGGCGTCGACGGCATCTTGTCGTCTTTCCAGTGCGCAGCTGAGCGCTGTCTGCGGTCGACAGACGGACTGCGCATTGCTACATTCATTCCCCGACTGCTTCCGCCTCGGCGCCTGGTTTTGGGGCTTCTGTAGTCGAGTGTTTGTCGTCCACAGCGAGTGCTTCTTGCGCGTCCTCGTCGCTGAGATCGTAGAACGTCGAAGAAGCTCGTGTTGGCCTCTAAGATGCAGCCAGTGCACACAGGCACCATGATCAACCGGCCCATTAGTCCGTCCTGGCTGCTCACGAAAACCTGTTTCGACGCACGGCACCTCGAACAAGCAGCGCGTCCGCATACCAGACACTCCACCACGTTCAGAGTTCCTACGCCGCCATCTTTTCCCACGCGCTGGCACCTACTGCACGTGTTTGGGTCGTTATCAGCGTGTGTGGGGCTGTCACCCCAACGGCGTTCCTGTTTCCTACGCCACAGGAACTCCCGTGCCATCTGCGTCAGACGCTTTGTCTCCGAACAGTCTAGCAACCTCGTCATGTTGAGCACGGTTTCCACCGCATAGTGAAGCGAGATCGGCTTGACTACGAGGCCTTTGATGTCGATATTGCCCAACATAAATACTTCCACTATGCCCTGTTCGCGTTGCCGGTACAAAAACCGCGTCGACATTAACGCCGGGATCGAGTTACGACTGCGAAGGTCTGGGAACTGTGATAAGTTCACCGAATGCATGATATGATACCCGAGTTTCTCGCCCGTCCGGGTGCGTGTGAAGCCGCTGTCTTCGAGATAGACGCAATGCCGTCGCTTGCAAATGCGTGGGTCTCCAACGGCTTGACTAACGTAGTACTTGAATCCAAAGAAGTGGAACGGGTCGTCGTCTGTAGGCGGCTCCATGACGTGCAGGATGCCGCAGTCTGAAGACGACCCGTGCAGATACCGGATCACAAGCGCCAGTTCCTCTTGCGACTTTGTGACCAACGTACTGACAGCGTTTTCCACGTACCCATGGCGAACTCCAGTGAGCATCATAGTGGCCGGCGTAATTGCTGCTGGTGTCGTGGAGAATAGCGACGACGACGCGGCACAGCGATGCAGTGAGTCGCCGAGTGACTCGCTTACTCGACCGGCCTGACGTTCCCTGTAGACAGTCAATTCGTCACGAAGGGCCTGCGTCTTCCAGAACCTGGTGTCCACCTCTCCCAATCGATCGTAGGCGAAGTGTTCGAACGCGCGAACCGTGTGCGCCAGCAAGCGGGAGCTCAAGTCCTTGCACGCGACATAGTCGTGGTAAGGGATCGAGATGTCCGGGAGCATATCCCGGGGCAATGGGAAGTCTCGAGATCGAGATCGAGACCGAGAACGAGCCATTGAGGGTACTCGATGGGGCTTGCGAGCCACCAAACAAGTTGCAAAGTGGTTGATGGATCGCCCGGCGCAATTGAAGCAAATCCGTGCCGAGCCGTTGGCATGACGGCAAAGTATCTGATCCGAACAGGAGGGTCCGAGACATACAGAATCCCTTGTGTGGCTCAGCGAATCAAGCATTCCAACACGACCAGATAAACGGGAGTCATGAAGCTGCTTGACCATTCGATTGACCTTCGGTCACGCGGTAAGCTCTTCAAAATTTCGCGTCGCCCGGCGACTGGTTCGACGCACACGCAGAGTCTCAGACTGCGTGACGCAGTTCTGTTCAAGCCGGGGAGTTTTGGTGCTACGTCTGCCTTGAAAGGCTCAATTTGAGACTGGATCGTCATCACAAACAAGAAAACCTTTGCCACGTAAGTATTGCGATCGAGTGGCATCCAGTTATCAATGCTTACTGTACTGACAGACGACTAGCCCTGGTTACTTCGAAGTATTGCGAACTGGTTTGCTGTTGATTGATAAGACAAGCACTTCACGATGTACTTTAAACAACTATGCATGTTACGGCAAGCGCTGCTGCTCGATTGATGTTCTCATCGCTGGGCGTGCTGGTTCCCTTCAGTCTGCCGGCTTACAGACTCCAACGAGTTCTCTCGCTCTCTTGCAGCGTGAAAGTAGCGCATCAAATCGTTCGAGGAGCCGGAGCCTTCCTCGTGCCGCAGTCTGCTCTGTCCTCTGCTGCTCGATTCGGAAAAGCTCAAGGAATCTTCGCGGTCGTATCGATCAGACAGATGCATTGGCCGGAAGGACATCTCTTCGCTGGAGCTGCTCTTTTGCTGCGCCCGGTACTGCTGCTCGTAGTAGCTGATGTTGGCCGTCATGGTGCAGATACTGCACACAGGTACCTTGACGAGCTTGCCTAGAAGCCCGTCGTTACTGGTCACAAAGATCTGTTTGTTGGCGCGGCAGCGAGAGCAGGCTTTGTATCCACAGACCAGGCACGGAATGAGCTTGACGCCCTTAAACCCGCTCTTGCGTTCGCGCTGACACACGGAACAGCTCGTGCCGTCGCCGACGGATGTCTGGCGCGTGGGTCGCCGGCCGCGCCGTTCGTCGTGCTTCCGTTTCTGGAATTCACACGCCATCTGAGTGAGTCTCTTAGTCTCGGAGCAGTCGAGCATCCGCGTCATGCCGAACGTCACGTCCTCGACGACTATAGTGGCCATGGGTTTGATGAGCCAGCCAGAGACGTCGATGCTGCCCAGCATGAAGATTTCTACCAGGCCGTCCGCTTTCTGCCGATAGATAAAGCGCATGGACGTCATCGCACAGACTGAATTGTGACTCGTAAGGTCAGGAAACTGAGGTAATGCTACGGATTGCATCATGTGATAGCCCAGTATTTCTCCTGTCCGAGAGCGGGTGAGCCCAGTATACTCCATATAAACACTGTGCCGTCGCTTGATGATCCGTGCGTCGGCTGCAGACTCCGTCACGAAGAACTTGAAGCCCAGGAAGTGGAAGGGCTTGCTCGCAGTGGGGCCCTCCATCGTGTGCAGCACGGCGCAGTCGGCCACGTCGCCATGCAGAAACTTAACCACCAGCGCCAATTCGTCCTGCGTCAGCGTCACCAACGTGCTCATGGCGTTCTCCACGAAACCTTGTCTGGTGCCGATGAGCAAAAGCGTCGGCGGGATCAGCGTCGCTGCGGTCGGAGAGAAAATATCCTGCTTCTCGACCAGCCGATGCAACGAGTCCGCTAGCACCATGCCCATCGAGCCGCCGTCACGCTCGCGGTACAGTGTGATGTCGTTCTTGGTAGCCTTCGCCTTCCACCGCCGGCTGCTGACCGCGCCGTTCTCATCATACGCATAGCGCTCGAACTCGTGCACCGTATGGGCCAGCAGCTTCGTGGCCAGGTCCTTGCAGTCCTGATGCACATCAGGCGAGACCGAGAAGTCGGGAAAGTCTCGACGTGGCAGTGGGAAGTCACGGCGACCCATGGTTATATCGACGGACAGGTTAGTGACAAGCAGGAAAACGGCGACTGAGTGACCTTGTGCGCCGAGCCCCGTGCTTGGCCATGGTCATCATGTGCGCTCCAAAGTTTGTGCGCAACGCCGCAAAAGAGACGCAGCTAATGGCGCATGCACAGCTTAGGCAGACAGGTCTTTGCTCAGACTGACCAACGGGTGGTCTCTGCTACAGTCCGTCGAGGACTCGTGAAAACTCGTGAGGCTGTAGAGGGAGCGCCGCGAGGTCCCGGTACCCGCCACCTGCGCTATTGCAACATGCGTGGCGGCCAGACGTTGCCCTCAGGTCCAACATCAACGTGCTGCATGTCCAAGGATAACGGAGAGTCAGAACGTCTCGGCAGACAGCGCGACCACCGAAATCGTCGTCTCCAGTGCAGAGCTCCGTGAGCTCTTCAACTAGCCTATCCACTCGAGTCGGCTTCAAAGTCAAGGAGGAACAAGTCACGGTGATTTGATTCCTCCTTGACGGAGACACCGTCGGATGTATGGAATGCAAGCATCGATATTGTGGTGGCCCGACGACTGCGTATACGTGTACGCGAAGTCTTTGCCAGCATTCTACATCACGCACCGCTCCGTTTGACAGTTCCACGCCGCGCGGCTTTGGCGCGGCGGCGTACGTACAATAGCCTCGATCATCTGCAATACGCAGTGCAGTCGTTGTACATGTACATGTAGATCACTAACGCCTATCAATATATTCACAACATCACGGTCCGTACGATGGTTGGCGGGCGTTTGCTCACTTCATCCTGTCGGCGGCCGTCTGCATCTTGAACTGGTGGTGCATCTGCTGTGCGAGGTAGATCCCGTTGACTTGCGTCTTGTAAGAGGTGGCCTCGGCCATGTTGTTGAGCTCCTCAAGCCTCGCCATCATGGCCAATTGGTCCGGCACCTCGCTGTCGGACGTCTGCTTCTTCATTCTGCTCGCCTTGGGTTCTGCTGGGATGGAGCCGACCGATTTCGAGTAGCCCGATTCCTTCACCTTGGACAGGTTCGTCACTCCCGAATACGACCGGGACTCGGACGAAGACTGTGGTGGGCGGAGATTCAGTCGGTTGGGCACCTCGAACTCTGGAGACGTGCAAGATACGGCAGCATCCGGGTAGGTCGTAGTGCCCTGGTGCACGAAGCTTCGGCCCATGACCGGGGTCCCAGGTGCCGGGGGCGTCTTCGTCCTTCGTCTGTGAATTCGCCTCGTAGAATTGGCCTCTGTGTACAGCATTCCCTCAAAACTAGACGTGGCATTGACCGCAGTGGGCTCGCTATCGCTTGTGTTTGAACTGCTGCTGCTTTGATGTGATCTCAATGACCGCACGCGCTCGACTGGAGGTTCGTACGTGCCTGTGTTGGCGCGCATGACGCACCTCGAACACGCCTGAATCTTGCGAAAGCTACCCATGATGCCGAGACTGTCGCTGGCCCACACTCGCTTCGTGGAGCGGCAACGCGGACAAACACCGTGTCCACACAGGTGACAGGCTACGAACTTGCTTGGCTTACCCCGGTTGCAAACGTTACAGCCGTCGCCCGCCACGTACGTGGACGCACTTGAATACTGCGAGAACGACTGGTCTACGTCGGACTCGCCACGATAGCGTCGGCGGTTCCTCGCCATGTCAGTGAGTCGCCGCACTTCTGCCAAGTCAAGCAACCGGGTGACGCCGAACTGCGCGCCGGCCGAGAATATACTGGCGATAGGCTTGACGATCATGCCGGACAAGTCCATATTGCCCAGCATGAAGACTTCAACGACCCGGTCGCTCTTCTGTCGGTAGAGATACCGGGAGCTCTGCAACGCGCGGATCGAGTTGTGGCCCGTTAGGTCGGGGAACTCATCGATATCCACGGACTGCATGAGGTGGAAGCCCACGGTCTCGCCCGTCCGGGTCTGCGTCATGCCGCAGTACTCGAGGTACAGCGAATCGCGGTGTTTGACAACCACCGCGTTGGTCGGGGATTTCTTGACGAAGTACTTGTAGCCCATGTAATGGTACGGCGCGTCGTCACTCGGATGCTCCATCGTGTGTACCACAGCGCAGTCGGCCACGTCCTGGTGCATGTAGGTGACAACCAGGGACAGATCCTGCTGACCCTCGGTGACCACGGCGCTCATTGCGTCTTCTACCCGACCGGGGCCCCACCCGGTTAACATGACGGTAGCCGGTGTCAGTGTCGCCTCCGTACACGAAAACAATGGACTTCTCATTTTGCAGTGACGCAACGTCTTGTTCAACTGATAACTGGTGACGCCCACGTCGCGTTCGCGGTATATGTTCATGTCGTCGTGCGAGTACTGTGACTTCCAACGCTTGGAGTCCACGACACCTTTGCGGTCGTAGGCAAAGTGTTCGAACTCGCGCAGCGTGTGCGCCAGCAGAGTGGTCATGAGTTCCTTGCCATCGTCATGTTCCTGCTGACTCACGTGGAGCTTCGGCAGGTCCTCTCTCGGGATGGGAAAACGTTTCCCCATGGTACCAACTGCGAATACTTGCGCCGAATACAGCAACTCGAAGAATGAGGCAGGTCAAGCGCAACAAGTTTCGAAAACCAGGCGTGTGGCATGGAGGACTCACGAGACTGCCATGTGAGTTGATGCTGCATCAACTGATGCACTCCAGTTTCCGCGTGCCGGCCGACGAGCAGTTGGCCGCCAGAGGTGCACTGTTGCATGACTAGAGTAGGCGTCAAATGGTGACGGCCTTGCATGGAAGGCCTTACGGATACCGTCAACTGGGAAGTTGGAAAGCTGGCGTAGCTACTACGATTGCTATACGGTATAGCATAACAGCGAGCCGCGATGAGCCTGACGAGCCGTGGATCCCCGTGTTGCCGCGACTGCAGTGCCACTTGTGTTTCACGGCGTGAAATTCACACGCGCGCAGATAACGTCGTGCCGCAGGAGTCGCGTCTGGGGTTCCGCTCATCGGAATCCGTTGCAATGGATCCATCTGGTCTTAACGCTGATCACCCGCCAGCAACGCTCGACTCGTCTGCTGCCCTGCTTTCAACCAATCTGCTTGACGTAACGCTATCGGGTGACCAACAAGCTCACGGACTCAACTCGCAGTCGCGGATACACTTTCATGCTCCGTTTGTCAGTCAGCTTGCTCGGCGTTGGCAATGCCATGGCACTACTATGGCGAATTCTTTCTATGCGGATATCTTTCAGTCGAATTCAAATCCGATGGATGTACGGGCCGGCCGCCGTTGCACTAAGGCGATCGGTCACAAGCATCCTTGATGAACTCATTGCTGCGATGCAATAACTTCATTTGCGTGAGCCTCGGACTCTTTATAACTTCAATTCTAACGTACATGCTCTCTTCATCCCCTTACCGTTCGAGGCTCGGTTCGAATGTCCCCTGCCGATGGGGGACAAAGTTGTCGAACCAGCTCAGACCCACGTCGTACGGGGTGGCGGCGAACTTGAGAGCGGCTGGCCTCCACCTCCATCTTGAGTTCCTCTCGCCAGTGCTGTTCACAGTAGATGCCATTCAGGTGCGCCTTTGTGGAGGTGTCCTCGGCGATCTTGCTGAGTTCGAACAAGCGAGCCATCATCGCGCGCTGCGCCGGCGACATGTCCGCCGGGATCTGCTGGTCGAAGCTTGTCCTTGGCTTGGGAGGCAGCGCGCCGTAGATAGGACCGTCATCTTGAGCAGGAATCGAGACGCGCGTGCGAGCCCGAGGCCGGGCCGGCTCCGCTCCAACGGGGCGGGAGCCTCGGTCGGAATATGACCTCTGGTTCGCGGAGGGCTTCGTCCATCGCCGGTCGAGGTTTGGCTCAACGACATCCACCTCTTCTTTGTCATCGAGCTTTGAGCTCGCTGGCATGCTGCTGGACGCGTACTGGGTAGGCACATGGGAAGTGGGGGATCTTGAAGGGAAGGTTTCACGGCGTCGTGACGGGGAACGCATACGGCTTGCTGCGTGTTGTGTCTTGGTAGTTTGAGGTGTAGCCGGCGATTGAGGTCTGGAGAATTTCTTGGCCTTGGCCTTGTGGAAGTCGAACTTGAGCTCACTGGGGGGCGTGCGTAGAACGCGCTGGTGCGGGGACAAGAAGCTGCCCGTGTTGGCCCGACGCACGCACGCCCTGCATCCTGGCACCTTGATGAAGTCGCCAAGGATGCCCTGGTCGTCACTCACGAAGACGCGCTTGGTGCTCGTGCACTTCTTGCACACAGCGTGGCTGCACAGTAGACAGGTGATCAGCTTCTGCTTGGACGCGCTGCGGTTGCACACCTTGCAGGACGTCGAACTGCCCAGGATGGCGGTACTGGAGCCGAAACTGCGCTGCTTGCGTGCCATCTGCGAGAGACGACGCACCTCCGCCAGCTCCAATAGCCGCGTGACGCCGAAGAACATGTCGACGGTGAACATGTTGGCCAGCGGCTTAAAGATGCGACCGGAGATGTCCATGTTGCCCAGCATGAACACCTCCACCATGTGAGTGCTCTTCTGGCGGTAGATGTAGCGCGTGGACTGCAGCGCGCGGATCGAGTTGAAGTCGCTCAGATCCGGGAATCCGGGCAGCTCGACCGAGTGCATGATGTGAAAACCGAGCTGTTCGCCCCTGCTGGACTGGGTGATACCACTGAACTCGAGGTAGACGCTGTGGCGGTGTTTAAATAAAAGTCCTTCGGTCGGCGACTTCCTTACAAAGAACTTGTAGCCGAGGTAGTGATAGGGCTCCTCGTGCGTCGGCGGCTCCAGTGTCTTGAGGATGGCGCAGTCGGCCACGTCCTGGTGCTTAAATTTGACCGCCAGCGCGAGGTCGTGCTGGCTTTCTGTAACTACAGCGCTCATGGCGTTCTCGACGCGGCCTTGGCCGTAACCTGTAAGCAGCATCGTAGGCGACGCCAGCGTCTCAATTGTCGACGAAAAGATCGGCAGGTCGAGTCTGCAGTGACGAACCGAGTTAAAGACGCTGTTGCCCGTCACGCCGGTCTTACGTTCGCGGTACAACTCAATGTCGTCGCGACAAGTGTGCGGCTTCCAGCGTCGGGCGTCGACGATGCCGCTGTTGCGGTACGAGTGGAATTCAAACTCGCGGATCGTGTGTGCCAGCAATTGCTGCATGAGCTGTCTGCTGGCCTCGCGTTCCTGTTCACTCACCTCGAGCTGAGGCAGCGTTTGGATCGGGAACCGTTGCGTCATGACCTTCGATCAAACAGAGCGATACTACTACGGCTGGGAAGACGAGCGCTTTCGACACCGGCTTGCAATTCGAGAAGTGAGCCGCAAGAGCTCGGAGCACCGAAAGCGTTGCAGGATCAGATAAAGGCGGTGTTTTGGCAGCCATCGGGAAAGCCCGAACAAGGCACGGGGATCCCACGACTTACTTTAAGTATGTGGACAAGCTTCCGATCAGGAATCCGATGGCGGGACAAGCTAAAAGATGGGGTCTACGGATTGTGAATTTGCACAGAGTAATGTTGTGTCCGTCGGTCATTTTGGTTCGAAGAGTATGAATCCGAGCGCGGGACCATCGTGTATCTTACCGGTCTGTCCCAGCATACAAAGCCCTGGGTCTGGTCGTAAGTTACGATACGATCGACTGTAGATCGCGAACGTGATCCTCGGCGGCGCGAAGCAAGTTTTGCATGACTGAATTGCATCCTAAACTGCCTGCGAAGCTCGCAACCGCTGCTTACGGTACTCAACTTGATGTGCAGGCAAGAGGAACATGATACATGATGTACTCATACCTTCCCCATCGACTATCGCCCGACACGTAGGCTGCGTACAGCGACAACGGGTTACCGGCACGGGGGCGCTAGGCAACGAAGCCCAGTTTAACTTTTTAAGAGGGGCGAGATGGCTGCACCACCAATGTAAGCTTCCTCCTGACACTGCGTGATGGAAATCAAAGTTTGCCGCAAAAGAATGGTGACGGAGTGCGCGAAGAAGACTTTTGTTTTGGTGAAGTGTTATCTTGTACCCGTTTGACTTAGGCAGACGCCGCCACCAGCCTAATCAGACGATCAAAACTCGTCGTGGTTGATAATTGATACATCTCGTGTCTGTGCCAAAATGACACTGCAATCGTTCGACTTATCAGCGAACATGTACATGTATCTTGTCCACAAGTTGGCTTCAACAAGGCTTTCAAGTACAACGTAGTATCTTTCTCTACAGTTGCAGCATTCCCACCGAAATGGCGCCATTGGTGGGGGGGCCGGGGACCGGTTTCAGTTGCTTTTTTGGGGAGGGGTTCCTTTCACCTTCAGGTTTGAACGAATAATATAATCCCAAACTGCACAGGCTAGCAAACTTCCACGTCTACGACATCCTTCGGCCTCGAGACGACACGTACGCGCTGGTCTGTTCGGCTACGCCATTGAGTTCCACGAGTCGAGCGTACATCGCTTCCTGAGGAGAGCAGCCCGTGGAGTTTCCAGTTGAGTGCGACCGCGATGATCGACTGCTGCTGCTTGTACCTCCGGACGTTCGATGGCTGCCGGGCTGCGACAAGTTCGAAGTTGGCATCGGAGGCTTGCCGGGGCCATTGGAACGAACGACCAGTTGCTGCAGCGACCCAGACAAGTACACTCTGACGTTGGGCGGCACGTCTCGAGGTTGCACGGGCGATACGACTGGGCGTCCGACACTACGGCTCCGACAAGAGCGAGGTGAACGGTCCCAGTTACCACTGCGGCAATTACCTCTGTGCGCACGGACGGGTTCCGTTGGACTGGTCGCCGTGGGGGTTGACGCGATCGCCGACGAGTAAGAACCAATTGAGAAACCGGACGAGTACGACGACGGCTTAGAACGGGATTCCATGTCGGCGACGGCTGCAGACACCGAAGCCACAGCAGTAGAAATACTCTTATGGGACCGAGCACTGAGCGGGTCTGCGCGGTATTGGCTGTATTGGGGGCTTCGTCCACGCTGGCCTGAGCTCCCACTTGACGACGAGCTTGAGACGGGGGCCTGAGGAGAGACGACAGGAGTCTCGTTGGCCTCGACGATACATGCCATGCATATGGGTACCTTCTCGAACTTGCCCAGGATATGATCAGGATTGGGTACGTAGATCCTTTTGATGTCACGACACGTTGAGCAGGCGAACAGGCCGCAGCACTCACACTTCACCAACAACTTGGACGTGGAGCTCAGCAGCGAGATTTTCTTGGGGGTCTTGCCGCAGAGCTGGCATTCGTCGGCATGTGGATGTCGAGAACGCACCAGCACAGACGGACGACGTTCCTGGACCATGTGCGTCAGTTTCTTGGCTTCCGCGCAGTCTGTGAGCTGCACGAGCGCGAACAAGGTGATCTGCGCCAGCTTGTCTGCGATAGGCTTGATCACCATGCCCGAAACGTCCAGGTTACCGAGCATGAAGACTTCGACAACCTCGTGACTGCGTTGACGGTACAGATAGCGTACGGACTGTAGGGCGCGAATAGAGTTGTAGCTGGTCAAGTCCGGGAAATGCGGCAGGTTGACTGAATGCAGCAGCACAAAGCCTAGTATTTCTCCTTGTCTCGTGGTACACGTGCCACTGTACTCGAGATATAACGAGTCGCGGTGCTTGACGAGACACGGAGCTCCAGGCGACTTGCGCACGAAGTACTTGTAGCCGAAGTAGTGATACGGATTTTCAGCTGTAGGAGACTCGACGTTGTGTAGCACCGCGCAGTCGGCCACGTCCTCGTGCATGAAGTTCACAAGCAGCGAGAGCTCGTCCTGGTTCTGAGAGATGGCGGCACTCATAGCGTTAGCCACGCTGCCGGGACTGCTGCCGGTCATCATCATGGTGGGCGACGCCAAGGCCGCGACCGCGTCGCTGTTGGATAGCATGGTATCGGGACCGAGTTCCGCCGCCAAACCGGAGCTAGTGGCACCCGCTACTCGCTCCTTGTAGAGCTTGAGGTCGTCTTGGGATCCGATATGTTTCCAGCGCGCCGTGTCCACGACGCCCTGTGCGTCGTACGCGAAAGTCTCGAACGCCTGCACCGTGTGCTGCAGCAATCGGGTCATCATTTGCTTGGCTTGCCGATGCTCCTCCGGCGCCACCTTGACTTTAGGCAGCAGAAGCCGCGATATCGGGAAGCTCGGCGCCATCACTCGCCGTTCTCAAGACTGAACACAGAAATGTTTAAAGAAGGGATGAGGCGGACGTTCCCTCGTAGAGGCAGACGCCGTGCACGTTGAACTGCAACGCGGTCGCGGTGGTGAATGTCCAATGCGTTAGGAAAGACGAATGCCCCGTTCGGAGCTGCAGATGTATTCAAGACGGGAAGAAGTGGTATGTCTTGTTCATGCCCACCAAATGGAGCTCTTGCAGGGCGTCACTCGCCCCCATGTCAATGGCGTTGTCATGGGCCATGAGTCGATCCATCGACCGTAATCACGAAGCTTACATCATTATTCCTTTGGTGACCTGTAAATGCACGCGCCACATGGACGTTCGCCTGGCGAAAATGAGAAAAGTGGTGGCCGACGATCTCTTCAAGCGTTCATGTATCCATACAAGGTGGCGAATGAGGATACATGGTGGATCCAGGGCTATCCCATGCTTGGAATCAAGCAATCTGGGACGCGAGGCAAGCTGCTTCTCGAGAAGTAGGAGCGCCTCCCGCTGAAGACCATCCACGAGGTGAGTTGAGCCCAGCCTCACCGAGACGGTTGGCCAGTTCGATGCGCTGATCGCGCTTGAAGTGATACTTAAGTATGTATCCGACAGCAACCACTTTCTTTGTGTTTGCGTTGACTTCAACGCGTTCGTGATCGAGAGCTGCAACCACAGCAATGTCAAGGTTTGGATACTGTAATAGGCCCTACTCCGTGACCGCATTTGCTGAGAGAGGTAGACGCTATTCTGCTGCGTCGTGTTGTACGTTGACTCGGCCATGCTGTTCAGTTCCGCCATGCGCGCGAGCAGGCCGGTCGTCTGCGATGACGGGGCCGTAGCAAAGCTGTACGCGTTGTAGTCTCCACTAGACGAACTAATGAAGGTCGAGCCTGTAGGTGGTACACACCGCAATTCATAATCTGCATGAGGGCGTGACTCTACAGTTTGTGTGGCATGGACATCAACTGCTGGCTGTGATGCGATAGCTTAATACAAGTAGCACTTGCTCTCCGTCGCTCCATTTGCTGGTCGTTTTTAGTGTACATCGGCTGACACCTGGAGCTCGTGATGCTTACACAGCTCAATACGCCTTCATTCATCCCTCGATGATGCAACCGTGCTGTTGAGCACTCTTCGGTCGGCAGCGACGGACAGCTCAAGTCCGAGCGCGATCGCGCCCCAGAGCTATCTGAAGATGAAATACCGACGCCGGTCGCGCTTTGATCAAGCTGGAGATGCTCAGACATGACGACGAGCAACTGAGGCTCACCGGGCTGTGATAGTGCTCGGTTAGTCGCCAGTTTGCGTCCATCTCGAACACCTTCTTGTCCGAGCGATGCCCGAGGGACATCGTTTGCAGATAGCAATGGCGCAGAGTTCGCACGCTGCCAGCGATACGCCACTAAACAACTTCCTTTTTTGCTGACACATACTGCACTCCATGGCCAATTTGGCTTGCTGTTTGCAGTTAACCTGTCTGTTATTGCGAACTCGCAGTCCACTGCACTGTCTTCCACCTGGATGGATCTACCACCCCGTCATGCCAGTCAATCCTCGAACGGTGTGCTCCAGCATACGCGCCATCATGTGCTTGTACACACACTGTTCGAGCCACGATAATGAGATCTTAGGCAGCTGGACCATCACCACCGAGAAGTCTGCGTTCGAGTTCATGACTATAGCGTGCTAGCCGACGTTTTAATGACCGAGAGGAGAGGCAAGTCACGCTTCATTACAACCACAAGCTTGAATTCACAGGTGGGACGGAGAAGTTACGGCTGTCGAGCAAAGGAGCGGAGGCTTTTGTCTTAACCAAGGGTCGAGATCGGACTGGGATCCTTGTCTAAGCTCCCTGTATCCCAAGCTCGCCAGGTGTTCCATCCGTTCATGGTATCCTTAAGTGATCCAAGGCAAGACGCGTTGGGCCGTCGTCGTTTACATGCAAATCTCGCTGGAGATCATCTTTCATGTTGAAGTGAGAGCACGCGGACCATTTCAGCAGTTAGACAGACCAGGGCATCAAGTCAACGGGATCAGCAGCAGCAACAGCAGTGCTGGTCCTGTTGACTTGGTGGTATTACCACCATCCGAGGCCCAAGTAAGGTGTACGTACATGTAACCCGTCTGGCTTGCAGAATACAGAAACATGACGTGAACGAAACAAGCATTGGCGATACATGTAAATGACAAACAGCATTAATGAACAACTTCAATATCAAAGACCAGCCTCAGAGTCGCTCTCCGATCCGGTTGCGCGGCACTTGATTGTGGCGTCGCTCATAGAGACCGTACACGACGCCAGGCACTAGGAACGCCAAGACGATCAACGTGGACGTCATGCTGCGGAAAGTGTCGAACACAATGTAGCAGAGTACAACCGTCGGCAGTCCGGCCAACGTGGCGAGCACGCGTGTGCCACCGGGGACTCGAACGGGTCGAGGGATGTACGGAAGCAGTTGGCGGAGCCTAATGGCTGCAAGGATGATCAGGAGCTGCACCGCTCCGGCAAAAGCGTTGGCCATGGGTAGCAGCGCGTCAAAGTCTACGCCTAGTAACGTCATCGTGAAGAGAGCTGTGGCTCCGATGGACACGTATGGAGCATCAAAGCGGCTACTACGCCATGCGAAACAGGCAGGCAGGAGATGCAAGTCGCTCATGCCAGACAACTGAAACGACTTGCAGAAAATACCGGAGATGAACAACCCGGCGACGGAACAGCACGACGAAAACACGAAGAAAGCCTTGAGCACCGGCCCCCCGATGGCGTCGGCGAGTGCAGGATACGAGTCACGTGTGAAGTAGGTCCAGTTGGGGTCATCCACAAGGATGGCGGCCGGAATAGGAACCAGATAAGTCAACAGCGTCAACGCAACGGTGTACGCGATGGCTCGCGGATAGGCGCGCGCTGGGTTGGACACCTCACCACCGAAAACAGAGGCCATGTTGATGCCGTCGAAAGCCCAGAACAAGGTGTTCAGTAGCAAGGCCCACTTGATTTCCACGGCACCAACTTGCTCGTCGTCGCCCAGGTCTTCGTGGATGATGTTAGTCTCGTGTCGAACCTCGAACAGGTCTCCGAAGTCACGTGCTCGAGAATACCCCCAAACGGTGAACACCAGGACGGGAAGCAGCACGCAACCCAGTAGCACCACACAAGTGCGAGACACGATTCGAGTGCCAACGAGACTCGGGAGTGTGAACAGAATAGCAAGCGCCAGTTTGACAGCGTACGAGACGACGCCAGAAGAGATAGATACGCTGTAGTAATCGTCCAAGATTTCCAACAGGAAGCCCGGCAGCAACGCCGTGTTGAAAATACCGGATACGAAGGACCACCAGCCGACCTGAAAGCCCCAGAACGGGCCGCACGCGTTGAAAACCCACACCGTGAAGCCACCATCTTCCGGGAAAGCACAGCACAGCTCTGCTATGATGAAGGCGTACGGTACCGTCACGAGGAGAGGATACAACAGCATGGCCGGGAGGCCGATCGCTGGGCCGGTGGAGGAGATAATGGGCTCTGAGCCTAGCGGTCCGCCGCAACCAAAGAAGTAGGTCACCGCTACAATAGAGAGCGTCCCCATGACGCGATGGTGCACAGGTGCCCCAGTGGACTTCCTGTACGCGCCATTGGCGTCCAGCACAGCTGTGTCCAGGCACTCGATATCACTGCTAACAGCAAAATACAGATTATTATTCGTGTGCTCGACAGGATCGTGGTTTGCAAACTTACACGAATCTGGTAGCCATATCCGCCCCTTGCTAACGGAGACTTGACTGCTAGAAGACGAATTCCGTAGTGACACCACTGCGAAGTATCGTCTCCGAGTGCTTTGGGTGCAGAAGATCATTTTTCCATGGTCATGTTGCCGGTTTCCACGCTTCTCCGGCTTTCTGCTGATGCAAAGATGAAGAAATCATGACCGTGTGTCAATACTCCCTGAGCCCCTCCCCAAAATAAGCATAGTCATCTGCAAGTACGGACTGGAGTTCAACACTTGGAGACCAAGATACCATGCTGCGAGAATAGTTCGAGCCCTGCGCTCTCTTTTGATGGAAGCTCACTGAGGCTCACCATACTATGGTGCATCACTATGGTCCATAGTGATGCTTAATGCTCGCGTATCCGTAGCAATAGTCGCTCGGTAGGAGGAGTATGCCAAATGGCGAAAACAAAGAAAAACAGAACTACACCGCTTCGACTCGTGTTCCCAAGCTCGAACTCCGAGCTTAGACCCTCGAAAGCTAGGCCTGACGTCATTTTGAAGCAGAAGACACCGATTTTGGTGTGACGATGGAGGCTTTGAGACACTGACATGACCTGGAGACCTCAATTGGTTGTTCTTGCAAAGAGAATATTTTCTACAGGTATTCCCTTGTTTCGTAATTGCTGCTACCAACACTGTGGAAGAATGGACCAAACCAGTGTAAGTCGCTAGTGTAATGCTAAGCCGCACACCGATATATCAAAATTCTAGAGGTACTGTACTGGGGAGGTTCATTCAAAGAAAATTTTAAGTAGAACTCACAATAGATAAATCTAAATATAATCTCAACTTGCCTCTTCCAGCCATTTTGCTAGGTCGGTGCTCCTGCAGCGAGAGCAAGTAGGCCATGCTTTGAGGTAGCCTTGCATTGATCTTTGCGTGTCAATGTTTGCTTCGCTGGCTGCAACGGCTTGCGGTGCGATACAATCTGTAAGGTTACAACTGGGTCAAACTGACAGCAAAAAATGCAATGATGAACGGATTCCACAAAGAAAACTACCTGCTGGTTTTTCTCTAGTTACTTCGTCTTGGAGATTTGATAATCGGCGTTTAGGCAACCTTCTGGGCTAGTTTATACTGTTTTGATTCGATGACGTTACCAATTGTATAAACGACATTTAAAGTACACTCTTCTCCTTTCGCTCACGAAATACCCCCGCCGGATGTACGGCAGATGATAAGCCCTCGCAAGTCCAAGCAGCTTAGACTTCGACACGCCGACAAAGAGAAAATGAGTGACTAGCAATCCTGCGAGAGTTTGCGACCAAAGACCGATGGCCCTTAACTATCAGATACGGACAACCCAACGCCAAAATGTGCTTTAAACATGCTACTTTGGCTCAACGTTCGGCTTACACTTTGATGTCAGCTGAATGCTGAGCGAGATGACATCAGGCGAGTAACGCAGTACTAAGAATTAATCTGTTGAGAGCTGTCATACCTAAAGGTATTCCAGTATTAACCTGCATATTCTACGTGCATTATAACAGTATTTTTAGGGGAAGTATTTGTGACTTTCCGTAACTTGCACTTTTTTAAATAAAAAATGCGTTTTTAGCAGAAAAATTGTAGCTACATCTACTCATTCTAAAATGCTTATGGGCAAACAACGCCGGTGTTTAAGGAAAACATAAAAATTAAATAGGAGGCCACTTTACTACCAAACAACGTTGGTGTATCTCAAGACTGTATCAGGCTTTACGCGGCTTAAAGAGATCGGTGAAGCAAGGCACCGCACTTTGTGACATGGAACGCCTCAAGTGTGAATAACAGTGTACTTTGATTTATCCAAAACTCTCTTTAATTATTTGTTTTACATGTACTGCATATCATTTTTGTAGGTATCGTGGACCTGTTGATCAGTCTGGCGCTCTAACTGACGCTAAACCATTGGACTTGTCACCGCACTGAAACTCAGCGGGAGGCAACACGGAATTCACATCGAGAGCAGTTTAACAGTAGTGAAGCATAAACATTTCACAAGAATGTGACTTCATACTGATGATTTCGTCTCTCTTGAAACAGCTTGCATAAACAGACGGCCCAAGCTGTAGTGATATCCGCTACCGACAGTGCTTCCCCCCGCAGTGAAAAATGAGGACTTCAGTCATCGGCTACAGTATACCCTCCGCGTACCGGTAGAACGATAATAAAACCATTGGTAATTTCAATGTGGTAAACCGAAATTTCGTTCACGTCTAGATTTGAGGATACGGTGCACAATATCACAACTGGAGTTATTAAATTATTAGTATCGTGGTTGGAACCGAACAATCTGAGGATTGTTTATGTGCGGTATCACCAAATCCAAAGAATGAAAGACAATCTCAAGATCGACAATTTGACGTAATCTATACAGTACATGTTGGTAATTCACCATTCGATTGTAGTCTTCATTTTTCAATCGATCTTCCAAAAGCAACTATGCGTCTCCGATGCGTCTATGGATTAACAGTGATCCTTGCTGTTGTCACTCTGGCAACAAGTGTCGGCGCTTCGTCGGTCGATATAGACTCCAAGATGGTAAACCCCACAGCCGAGCTTGCGCTCACGTATGGCATGAGTGATACTAAACCCAAGAGATTATTGAGAGCCGAGAAATTTATCGAAGAAGGCGGTGAGAACGAAGAGAGGGGAGCGTTCTCAAACATTGTCGCCAAAGTAAAGGGTCTCGTGAAGGTTGATCCGAAGCGCATGCCGGTGGTACCGAAAGGACTAGCAACCGTTAGGGAAATGCCTGACGAGGGAAACAAGTTCACACTCAAGCTCAAGGATTTCTTGAACAAGCAGAAATCACTGGACGATGTGTACTCGTTGCAAGTAAAGGGTAAGAAGGGCAAAAAGCTGCTCGAACCTGATGCGCTGCCCATGTATATCAAATTCAGTGAGCTGACTGCAGCGCAGAGGGGAGGCAAGGACATGTATGGAATTAACGCGCTCCTGAACCACGTACCTGAAAAAGATCTTCTGGAAATCGCCATTCGTGGAATGAAAAGCACAGATAAATTCACTGTTGCGACCGCTGATCGAGTACGAGCTGGGCTGATCAGCAAGTGGTGGAGTGAGAAACTGAGACCACATGAAGTTGCTAGCCTGCTAAAGGGAGGGGATATCACATTGGACAAGGTCCATAAAGAGGTGGCGAGATTGTATCTTAATACGTACAACAAGGTCCACATCACCACTACTGGTTAAACACACCAACTGCTTTGGCGCATACTGCAGAAGCTGGTACCTGAGAAACAAACAAACAAACACACATAGAAATAGCGCTACGAAGACTACACGTATGCTGGCAGCTTTAGTGGTGCACGGAGTTCTCGTTAGCGAATAGTTCATCTACAGCTCATCCACAACGATATCGACGACACACTTATACTTGTGCGAAAAAAAATAATATAATGCTGCCTATCTACCTGCAGTGTGTGTGTTTTAATTTGAACATGGTTGCCACTTAACTGCCTAGATAAAACTAAAGCAGTGTGTTTGCCTACAGAATTGAACGGTCAATTGGGTTGTTCAGCCCATCACGTACAATACCGATGCGTTTTAATTCCGGCAGGCCCGGACTGGGCGGTGCAGTATCCGACCCGTTCACCACACGATGTTGTAACTATGTAGTCTCGTTGCATAACGACCGCTTCTAGATCCGCAGTCGTATTGAGAATCTAGGAAGTCGAATGGATTCTGTTCGGTATGGCTTATGACCAAAACCAATTGGTGGCATTAAGATTATTGCGTCCTCGACTCGACCCTCAGCTTTCTCTTTGTTCCCATGTCACTCAGGCCACACCTGAACGAACGATTAAGGTGGGCGGTCGGTTTTACAACCTCCAATTAAGAGGCAATAACACTTGCGAAGACGACAAGTATTACTACAGTACATATAGGTATTGAAGACGTGTCGAGATATTCTGTAACTTATGAAAATTGAGGACTTCAGTCAGCAGCTACAGTATACCCTCCGCGTAACGGAGATTACGTCGAAACCATAATACAACCATTGGTAATTTCAATGTAAACCGATATTCCGTTATACGTTTGCTATCATCAGATTTGATAATATCACGATTGGAAGAAAGTATGTTTGAGCAACCAGTCAAACTATTTATACTGAATTAGCGAAAAACTGTACGAAAGAAGAAATGTTTTCGCTCCCAATGCTCTGATACATCCAGTGGAAAGCCTGCCAGGCAAAGGGAAGACAACGACGTGTATGGGATCTAAATACTTCTAACCACATGGTTTCGCTCAGTGGCTAAGGGGAAGATCAATATGTATCAGGCATGTACAGTTTTATCTTATTGCGTTGCGCACCAAAGCAAAGCGAAATCTACTGTTTTTCAAACTATTTTTTTTTAATTTCAGAGATCGAAATCTATAGCTCTGGATGAATTTGGTTGATCAACTGCAGAGCTATTGGATACAATATACCGAGGTAGCGTTGTGAAAACTGACCCACGTTAAATTTACACGGATCTGCAGTAGTGACAAACCCACCACGATTTCATCGTGAACGAGTATAATAGAGACTTCAGTTCTTTTAGGCTTTGATAAATAGCGGTTGAGTCAAGTCACGGTATTTGGTTGGGCGAATTACCTACCTAAGCGCTTGTAGACTATTTCTTCGCGTTGAATGCTCTCGGTCGAGAGTTGCCTAGAAGCCAGGAAGCAACCGAGACAGAAAGTGTAGGCATGCGCTGCCATCCCCGACTTGGCGTGCTTTGATCGCACCACGAGTTTCTTGCTGACACTACAGTTCTTACAAACGCACTAGACCACAAAATCAGTACCATACAAGCTTAAAACATCAGCGCTAGACGTATACCTGATGACAAATTGTACATTGCAGACTTTGCGTCGAGAAGAGTTTCCCAATCGACTTGTGGCAATACCAACACACCGTCGGATCTTCACTCTCGGTCATCCTAGTGGTAGCCGTCAGTAAGGACAATGACGAAGAATGCGAAGACTTGGACGTAGCGAAAACGTCGGCAGCTCGCTTCTCGGCCATCATTTTGTGCAAATACCATCGCAATTTCTTGCCTTGAGCACATTCCATCGGAGCGCCCATACCTAAGATACTATTTGCAATTTCTTGTAATACGTAAAACGAGAACACAGTGCCGCCCGGATCGATCACTGTATGTGCGAAAGACTCCACAATCTGGTCACTCTGTTGTCGGAAGATGACGCAGAAGGACATATTAGCACGGACAATACCGAGGTGTTTCAACTCCGGCAGGTCCGGGTGGGATACGGACTGGGCGATGCTGTACCCGATCCGCTCGCCACGCGACGTAGTAGCGAAGCCAGTACTCATGAGCACGACGTAGTCTCGCTGCTTAACGATCGCTCCTAGACCCGTAGCCGAGTAGAGTATCCAGGCCACACCAAGGAAGTCGAACGGGTTCTGCTCGGTAGGACTCTCTAGTGTACCCAACATCACCAGGTCGTCCATGCCGTCTTTGCCGTAGACGCTGCGTCTTCGGAGAGACGTTGTGTCGTGCACGAAGATGCCGTACATGACGTCGTCCAGAGTGCCCTGAACCGTGCCTGTGCACACTACTACGGGGATCTTGGTGGCCACTGAGAGCGACGACGCAGGCCCGATCAACAGCGCGTCGTCCTCCTCGAACGGTGATACTGAGGACACGGCTGTGACAGAAGTCGAGGTTGAAATACTCGAGTTGAAGCTTGTGTCGTTCCTACCCGATCGCTGGCGATAGACTTTCATTGTGCCTCTAGTCCGGATATGTTTCCACCGACGCATATCGAGCGTCTGCATTCTCTCGTACAGGAACGCTTCATACAGAGCGCGAGTTTCACGAAAGCTTTCGTCGGCGATGCTGCGGTACTCATGCGTGTCATCGGCGGTGAACGTCACCGGCGGCAGCCTCGTACGCGCCGCGTCGGCCATTGTGCAGCGATTGTCAAGCTTGCAACCGAGATTCTTTCGAGTTCGACGGGTGTACTAGAGAATGAGCCGCTGGGCACACTCTTCACCGCGTGTCAGACATGATGACTCGGATTGATGAAAGTCAACGTCCTACAGTGTGGGCTACACTTGCAGAGGGACTACAGCTTCGTCCTGTTGTGGCCTTTACTCTCTGCTTGAAGGTTGCTTGGAGAGCAAGATGGACATGTGAGGGCACAGAGACTTGAATGTGTTCACTTCTACTCGAACGTGTTTAATGCTGCAGTTTTCAAGATTCAAGCCGCGTCAAACGACTGCCTAAGACCTGTCGGACTTGCTCACGGGAACAGATAAGTGGCCACCACGCCGCTGATCGCCGTCGTCGCCAGTACAGACACCACGTTCACCTGTTCGTTGCTCAGGAGATCGATGCCGCACACGTGCTCGACGTCGCCTTGCGGCGCATTCTCATCGCAGATTTTGCGCGACGACCGGTCGAAGTATGTGGCCTGCACCGTTGCGCCGAGTATCGAGTCGAGTACTGAGCCGAACAGCCCGGTCACGGCGCCCAGCGTGACGACCTGGAGCTGCGCCGTCCCGGAGGGAAGACTACCAGCGTAGTACAGCACACCGATGAAGGCCCCGCCCAACGCCGACATCGCCAGACCCAGCATGGACACCCCACCATTGGTGCCCGGCGGTACCCGTCGCAACGTCGTGATGAGTCGGGGCTCACTCTTGCTGAGCACGCCCAGCTCGGATGCCCACGTATCGGCCGCGCAGCAAGCGTAGTGACCGATGAAGCTGGCCAATAGGTAGCTGCGCTCTGGGGCGCGCTTGAAATCGAGGGCCACGTCGTCGTCTCCGAATCGGATAACGGCGTAGACGGCGATGAAGGTGGCCAGGAGACTACAGGCCAGCACCTGACGGGCTGATCGCTGGCCGCCGGGTTTGTAGTTGGCATCTAGCTGCTGCTTGACACTGGCCCGCACCTTGGTGAGTTTACTGCCGGAGAAGTAGAAGCCCAGCAGCAATAGACCTGGAGTATCCATAGTTGGTTAGCACTCACGAAAGATACAAGACAAGGTGAAACGTACCGAAGCGGTAGCCCGACGCGAGCGTGAAGAAACCCACGAAGCAGGCGGCGGCAGCGCCCGACACGTCCAGCGACTGCTTCTTGAGGCCACGCCGGCCCAGACCACCGGCAAGCAGCGCCGCCACCAGCACGCGAGACAGCGGGACCAACATCTTCAGTTGTGATCCGATACACCGTGAATAATCAATACAAATACCAAGTGAACCCACCGGGGTCCGATGGCCGACCGCGTCAACCTGTGCGTCGTGCGGCACGACTCGTGCGATGTCTTCAACTTCACACAAGCCCTCCATGATAGAATCCATGAGCTATTCTGCTCAGGGTACATATTGATTATTCGGTCTCCATGAACACTTCTACGTCGAGGCGTACAGGCCACTAATATACTACACTTATCTCAGCTTTCGGTGGCTTCAGGCCGCGACTTAGGCGGCACTGTATCCGGACGAGCTTGTCGCCGGGTCTTCAACGTATAACATGACGCGAGGGGTAGCTGAGGATGATCGATGCAGAGCAGATTGGACGTACGCCGCACTGCTGTAGGCCTTCTGACGCGGCTGGTAATAAGGAGATGCCGCGTAATGCGAGAACTGCTGTGAGCCGTTCGAAGCCTGCGACGAGCGGAAGTTGTACGGACGTCCAGTCTGAGTCGACCGCCGGCGCATCGACGACGGGCGTGAGCGGTTGCTTGGCCGGTCAATTGTGCTGCGAGGAGTGACCAGGCCGAAGCTTGTCTGCTCTAGAATCTCCTCCACCACGATCTGCGAGGCGTTGCGCTGGTTGGCTCGCAACACGCAGGGCAAACAGAACTTGAGTGCCTTCTGGCAAATGTCGTTCATGTTGTTGGCGCCGCTGCCGCTGCTGCTGCGGCTACGGCTGCGTTCCGTGGACGCTCGGGACGCCTCGGGCCGTTCAAAGTCATGCACGCCCATACTTCCTCCAAGATTCACGCCATGGTTCAAGGGTAAATTACTGTCCTCACTTCGCAAAAAGCGCAACTTCTTGACGACACTGCAGCGGGAACACACCATCTTGGCGCAAATAGTGCAAGGCACTCCGCTTCTGTTGAGTAGATGGCCCACGCGACGATCACACAGCGAGCAGTTGGTTGACCACGCTCCATCGCTCAAGATGGCGTCAGTGTCTTCATCGCATAACTCCTCGATGCCGAGCATGCCTCCATCACCATAGGCGGTTTTGTTCAGCTGACTCGCTCTTCGCCGGCGGCCGGCCTGTTGCGCCGCGAAGGCGATCTTCTTGAGGTGCGCACAGTCGACAACGGAGAAGGTCATGTGCAATAAAAGCTCAGCACCAGCGTTGACGGCCATAAACTGCATCATGCCGCCCTGGGGATCGTAGTATCCTCTTGTGAACACGTTCAGCGTACCTGTGAGACCGGTAGAGCCCTCAGATGATGGCTGCTGGTGGAATAACTGTACGATCGAAGTACGAGCACGGATTACAGACGAAGAAATGCTCGTGGTGGCCAGCAAGGCCAGCGCCTTGATGCTCACTGAGTGCATGACACGGTACCCCACTCGGTCTCCGTTGGCCAGCTTGGTAATACCCGTGGCCTCCAAGTACAACAGGTCTCGTCGCTTGGCCATGGCGTCACGGCGGACGGCCCACTTGAGGCCAAGGAATCGGAAAGGTTCCTCGATACTCGGCCCCTCGATCGTGGCCAACACCTCTGCGTCCTCCAGGACGTCTTCAGCGTAGGCACTGTTCATCTTCATGGCGCGTGTCGTGGCGCTGACCAGGCCGTACATGGCGTCGTTGACGTGGCCGGCCACGGAGCCGGTGACCATGAGCAGCGGTAGATCCGTCTCGCTGGCAGTGCACTGCCCAAGTTGCTGTTGGCCTGCGGCTATGAGCTTGGCTGCTTCTTTCTTCTGTTTGTACACGCAGAGCTGGTCTTTCTTCTTGATGAGTTTCCACTGCTGCAGATCCACCTGGGGCTGGCCACGACCAATAACCGAGCGGCCCTCATAGGCCTTGAGTGTGTCGGCTAGCATAAGCTCGGCGAGACGAACGCATACCTGGGCCTCGTCCTGCGAGAGACTGACGGCCCGCCGCTCCAAGGCCGAGAAGGCCGAGAGCGTCTCCAACTCTACCATGTTGCTGGCCGTATTTGCCCTGCTCCGCGCCCGTGACCCCAAACGCGGCCGAGGGAAGCGGCGATGGCGCTGCTGGTTGCTGCCGTCCATTGCGCTTGACCGCTACCGTGAGGCTATCGCTGCAAACTGACCGGCAACCGAACGAGCAAAAGGAAGAATGAATGTGGCAAAAGTTGCAATCACGCACGCACTTTTTGGAGTGGTGTGTGAAAGGTATATTTCCTGTGGAAAGCGATATCTGAAAGAAACGGCTTTAACAGTCGTTGTTTTAATGAAGGTAAATGAAAACAGAGACAGTACTAAGTAGTCACTAAAACAGAATATAAAATGCTACGACCACGTGGGCTAATGAAAAATCGGGTTCCGAAACTACCTTTTGTGTGCATTGGTGATTGGGGAGCATAGTGGGGCCAAGTCGAAGACCCAGCAGGTGAAGCAGGTGTACAAGCGGAACTGAGAGCTCCCATGGATGGCATCCCCACATGCTCTACAGCTCGACGAGCCGCTCTCTTGCTTGACATCCTGTCAGTGGATCTCGTTCTCGCTGTGATCCCGATCGACGATGGGACATCAACCTCTTCTTCACCAAAAACAGCAGGGCTTTATCCCAACGCTGTGCGCTCCATACGCTGGCAGCGTCCTGGCTACAGCGTTACCCTTGGTCCGACGCCGCGAATCGTGTCTTTGAGCTGCTACCCCGATCTTGAGGAGCAGCGCGAGATGATTTTGGCTTTTTCCACATGGCCATTGACTTCAAGCAGTGTAGCGCTACGAAATCATGTTTGAAACGCAGTAAGTGAAGTGTGTTGAAGGGTAATGCCAAGTGGTGAATCGTTCGGGCATTTTTCGCAGCCACATGCGACCAACACACTTCTGGACTTGGTAGCTTTCGCAATGGTTACCGGAGCTATGCTGACCCCAAATATGCTGCAACTAACGCTCACCAACCAAACGATTCAAGGGTGGTTCTGCGTTTCGGTGGCTGTTGTCGTTCATGCATTTTTATTAGGACCACAGCCATCTACGTGCACATAATTATGAGGTGACCTTCTTCAGTGAGCATGTGCGTGGGAGTCACGTGCCAGCTCCCTACATGCCATCACGTACATGAACTTACGTAACGCTTTGCAAGGGTGTGTATCCATCCGTCATGCTTGCGCATGTGTGATTTTGTTGTCTGCTCTCATCTGAAAGTCGGTACTTTTTGCCAGTACCCGTGCCACTGGCACTGCCAGGCAGGCTTCCTGAAGCAGCAGGAAAGCTGGATACAATCACTTTTACCATAAACGTTAAGGATCGAGTAAACAGTTTACCAAGAGTTCTCGATCCAGTGACTTCGAGAAATTTATAGCATTACCATCGGCAGTATCTCGCAGCAGTCTGGACTTACAAGTCCAAGCTAAGTTGGCACGTATTACAAACCCTTGGTTTAGCTTAGCGTTCTTTGGCTGCAGCATGCGCAGAATCAAGTCGCTGCTACGGCGATGAAACTTGTACAGGAACTTAGAATCCCTAGTTGAAGTCAATGTAGCCATCTTTTGATTGGTCAATAAAATACGACACATCAACATTATCAATCGGGGCGAAAAGCGTCTCCTCCGCGGCCGCCTTCTCGCCTAGTTTCGCCCCCGCTTCACCTTCCCCAGACGCCGGCCACCTCGTGATGGCCAAGGCCATCATCTCCTCTGTACGCACACCGCTTGTTCTCCCCAGCTTTGGTCTACAAGCCGCAACTTTCCTCATATTTTTATTGCTCTATAAATTTCACGTTATTAGATTCTCGAGGCTCAGCTAGGCAAGTATGTGGACGGATTACGTAGCGACTCGCTGGTCGTGGGTCTATGGAGTGGCGAGCTAGAGCTGCGTGACTTGGCCCTCAAGCCCCACGCGCTGGCCGAGGTGCAATTGCCCGTGGCCATAACCAGCGGCACCGTGGCCCGCGTATTAGTGCGCGTACCATGGAATCAGCTTGGCAGCGCCAGTGTAACTATCGCTCTGGAGGGCGTATCGGCCCTCGTGGTGCCCAATACAGAGCGGCCCGGCCCGGCCGAGCTGCTACAGGCCAAGAAGAACCAGCTGGAGAGACGCGAGCTGCTACGACAACACCGCCGCTTCGCTGCACGTGTGGCTCCTGGCCAGGAACAGGAGAAGCAACAGGAGAAGAAAAATGCAGAGGACGAAGGCACATTCGTGTCGAGACTCACGGCCCGCATTGTGGCCAACCTCCAGGTAACTCTACACGACGTGCACTTAAGGTACGAGGACGCAGTGGCCAACCCAGACGCTCCTTTTGCATGCGGCCTGATGCTCGAGAGATTCCGGTTCTTCACGACAGATGAAGAAGGTAAAGAGGCTTTTGTCGACCAGGCCACAGTGCACCAGGCCTTCACGTACAAGAAGGCCGAGCTCACGCAGTTCGGAATGTACTGGGACCGACTGGATGTGAACGACAAAGGTGCGAGACTAGAGACTAGAGACAATATTCCAACAGTCATGAGGGATATGGTGCAGGCCCTGGGTGAACAACAAGGCGGCCAGAGTTCTAGGAGGTGGATACTGAAGCCATGCTCCTTGGCCGTGCAGCTCACGAAGAACGAGAGCGCCGACTACTCGGCCGTGGCCAAATACACAGTAGAAGCGGAAGTAGGTGCGCTACAAGGAAGCTTGACGCGCGAACAATACGAAGACGTCTTGTTTCTACAGCGAGCATTCTTGGGTCGACGGGCCGTGGAAGCTCATTTCGCGCTGGCCAGAGGCCGGCCACTTCATTCAGCTGCAGCACGTCCTCGTGAGTGGTGGGACTATGCCACGCGCCTCGTTCTCGAGCAACGTAGAGCAAAACTTCGACGCCAAACGGCCCATGACAAGAGTAAAGACAACGACCAGACTCCTCGACGCCCCCACCAGCGTAAAATACGCTGGTCTTCCGTACATAAGGCCCTACTGGAACAACAATTATACATCGAAGCTTACCGTACAGAACTACGCAATGGCACCCCGTTGGAGGCTTCAACTCGAGAGGGCAGGTTGAAGCAGAAATACGAAGAAATCTACCCGTTAGACGTCGTTCTACTGCTTCGTGACGTTGCGGAAGATGCCGAGGAGCGAGCACAACAAGAGGCCAAGGCTAATGCCAAAGCACAAGCCAAGGGCCAGGCCGGAGGTTCTTGGTATTCGTACTTCTTTGGCGGAACGGATGCTGACACATCAAGTGAAGAAGACGACGTGCTATCAGCTGAAGGACGAGAAAACTTGCGTGAAGCGTACGATGACGCAGTGGTGAAGGACAGTAGCGAAGTTCCTATGGGCTGCAACCTCATGTCGATCCAGATCCAACTGACCAATGGATCTATGGCCCTTTACCAGTCCAACGCACATGATACCCCGTTTGTCACTGGGATGCTGCATGGCTCGTTGTCTGTGAACGTTCAGCCAGAGAACGAGTGGGACGCGAACTTTTGTGTGCAGCATTTCGACATCTTGAACGGCCTGGCGCGGGATTCTCGGTTCCACTCGTTCTGCAGTCCCTCAGCCGCTTTAATGGCCGATCCAAGCGCGTCTTGTGTCAGAATCGACGCCAGTCGACGAGCTGTGGTGCAGACTCAAGCACAGGGCGACGACGTGGAAGCCACGCTCAAAGTTCGTGTACGTTCGGAGCCTATTCGAGTGCTGGTGGACCCGTCTTTTGTCATGTTCTTGCATACGTTCTTCGTCAGTTTGTTACCTGAGAAACAACTCGAAAGGGTCTGGCAGTTCGCCACGTCTTCTGTGGCCGATTGGATGTTTGCGGACGATCCAAAGCTCGTGGAATCTTCAGAGATGAACGCTGAAAAGGAGGCCCAAGAATCGGAACTTATCCGGTCACTAGAGAGCGCAGCGGGCCGTGTAGCGTACGATGTGCTGGTGGATATGGATGCTCCTGTACTGATCTTACCTGAGAACGTGGCCGAGTCCACGGGTGCTGTTTTAGTTGTGGATCTCGGCAAGTTGAGCGTCCGTAACGACGAGAAGGTGACGGCTTTTAACACGCCGTTTAATGCGCCGCTGGAGAGTACAGGAGACCCACGTCGTCTACACTGGAGACTGGAGGTGACCCAGATCCACGTCTCTCTTGGTCGCCAGGAACAATTAGTGAACTGGACGGATGAAGAACTTCGGGGCTTTACGAAGATTGTGAAGGAGTTATCTATGGACTTCTCGTTGCATACCCAAGCCTCGTCTTCACGTCTCAAGCTCCCGTCGCGGAAAAAGACTTCGGTTAAGTTATTGCCCCAAGTCGGCATCTACGCTGATATCCCTAGTATTGTGGTGTCGTTGGCCGAAGAGCAGCTCGTGGCGTTGGGCCAGATCCACTCTTCGATAGTCGGACAAGCTGCTGCGATTGCTCGAGCCAAGAAGGAGCGTCTATCGTACTTTGAAGACCAAGAACAGGACAGTGGAGAGGAGAGTGCGAACGACTCTGGAAGTGACGAGAGTGTCGGTAACAAGCCTGCAGCAGTGGAGAAGTTCCTGTTGGAGATGCAGTTGTCGCTTGGATGCGTGGAGTTGAACGTGCGCGAGTCAGCAGTAAAAGACGCTTTCGTTCTACGTGCGTCGCATACTTCATTCGCTGTTGAAGCGTACTCTAGCTACCAAGTGTTCCATGCTCGACTGAAGGCGCTAGTGATGGAGGACAAACTATATTCTGCCGATTCTCGCTTCTTTAAGCTCATTTCCACTGGCGAAAGTGAAGGCGAGACCCCGCACTTGATCGCTATCGACGTTGTCAATTCTTCGGCATCGCAACTGGAAGCGGATGTGCACTTTAATGTGCTGCATGTGCAGTGGAATCCGTCGTCTGTGGCTCTGTTCTATCGCATTATTTCCGCCTATGCGTCGGCCATTCAGTCGTGTGACTTCCCGTCTGAAGATGCTACGCCATCTTCTAAGCAAAGGCTACCAGGGAATACAGTTCAAGCATCGAAAGAGAAGGAGAGAGTGGCTGACTTATCCACTCTGCGCTCACGAGGCCAACCTGTTGTTGTGGTACGAGCGTCGTTGGTTCAGTTCAGTCTGACGTTCAATAAAGACCAACTGGATCGACAACTGGCACGGTTAGAGATGACGAACGCCGCTATCAACTACACAAGCTACGACGTGGAAGGACAGAGCAACGAAGACGCGTTCGAAGTTACTGGGCACGTGGGAAACTTTGTGGGAACGGACCTGAGTACTTCCAAACATCCACTATACTCGACGCTACTTGGCTTGGATGAAGACGAAGCGCGTCGACGTAGCACTTCTGGAGAGAAGTTAAAGGCGCTATTGAGCTTTGAGTTCGCGAGTGACCCCATGACGAGTGACAAGAGTTCTCTACACTTGGCGTTCCAACCGATCCGAGGCGTTTACTATCACCAGCAGATCTTGGAGCTCGTGGACTTTGTGCTTGAAGGCGTCCTTGGAGCGATGGTGAGTCAGACGCTGATGAACGCCACGCAGTTGCTACTAAGAGAAGACGAGGCCAGTGTCGTACTGGCCTTGAGTGTCGAGAAGCCCACGTTGATTCTCCCGTTAAGCTTGGAAGATTCCCCTCACGCCAAGGTCACGGCAGATGTGCTACGTTTAGAGCACTTCCCAGCCAGTGCAGTGCACTATGAAGGACGGACAGGAACGAGAACCAAGCGCGTTGTACACGACGAAGTGCTGCCTCGTGCTATGATAAGGTCTGATGCTGGTATCTCGTTGCGTGTGGACTGTAAGGACCTGTATCTTGAACAGGTGCGTATTTACTGCACTACGAATGCGAAGAAAGCCGACGGACCGAAGTATGAAGAGTTACTGCCCAAGTCTGCGGATCTGAAGATTAGTATCGAAGATCTCGTGTCGTCTACTATCTCGCTGGACGAAGACACTGAGGGCAGACCAATATTCCTTCCTAGAATCACGGTCAACTCGGTGTTACCTCCTTTAGAGGCACATATATCTCGCACGAGTTATCTCGGTATAGTCGCGCTTATTCTAGAGAATTTCGGCGCCGAAGAACTGCAGAATATCCCGACTACAAGTGGAGATACCAGTGGGTCGAGACTAAGTAGGAGGCGAAGTAGTGCGGAGATCGGAAACTTACCGTCGCTACGCCCTACTGTCACGTACACGTATCTCCAACCTGACGCAGTAGAAACGACAGTTGAAGTGCGATTCGTGATGGAAAACGTCCGCATTCTACTGTTTCAAGACGGACAAGGCGATATACTGGCCAAAGACTCGTCCGCTGATGCGATCGTGCAGCGTACACTGTCGGGTAGTGGCCAGACTTCACGCACTGACGCGTTTGCGGAGGTTGTAGCTACAGATTTCTCACTGGTTTTCGACGACGAGTATGACAAGAACCCTCGCTTGGCAGTCCGTCTGGGCGCATTCAGTGCACGGGATCTGGTGGGGAAATACAAGGCTAACGGTGGCGATAACGGTACATTGCTGACATCTCCACAGCCGTTGGAGATCCTCTACACTTGGGATGATGCTGCGTTAACCGGAGATTTAGACTTGGCCTTCTCCGAAGTCACAGGTACAGTTATCGCCGAACCGCTACTCACTCTTGTTGGCTTCTTTGCACTGCCGTCGAGTTCGGGGACGAAAGTCAGGAGTAAGAGTGAAGCACTGCTGTCTCCTGTTCGAGTCCCTCCCTCCCCGTCTATATTGACGCGACGTGAGAGTATTTCGGATATTTTACGTGACGGCAAGGAGCCAGACTTGACGATCACAGTGCGTGCTACTGCGAAACAGGTAGGACTAGCGCTACCACGTGACGCGTATGACTCTGAGAGTCCACGCGTGGCGTTCGCCGGGGATTTCACACTCGAGTTCAAGTGGCAACCGCATCCTAACTCGACGAACAAGTCGGAGAATGATTTGGATATTCAGAGCAGTATCATTGTAGACGCACGGAATATGGAGATCGTTCTAGAGAACGCGAGACGTCCTGGTTGTTGTGTGGCGTCTCCGTCTTCCGGTCAATGGGACGCCATCGATGTAGCCCCGTTGATTCAGCTGCTGGAGCCCTGTTCTTTACACGTTGAAGTGAGTGATTTATTCCCCCATGCTGGTCAACGTCAGCAGATTGTGGCGCTGAACTTCACTCCGATCGAAGTGTTTGTATCCTATGACGACGCGTGCATGGCGATGGATACAATGGAGACGCTTAACCAAGCGATTGAGCAGCATGAAGAGCATCGCATTGAAGTTCGACGTTCGTCTCGTGGAGATAATTCAGCTTTCCATTCGTTATCGAGGGCACGTACGTCATCGGTGAGAACTGCTATTATGGAAGATACAGAAGTGGAGATCCACCGGTATTTTACCTGCGAATTACCGTCAGTGAGTTTGACTCTTATCAACGACTGCGACGGATGTGATATGGGGCTGGTACAGCTCCAGATTGAGCGCTGTCATCTCTTCCTGAACGTCACGTACACTGCACAATTGGAGCTGGAAGACGCCGTGTTCTTCGCTGAGTCGGACATGTCCTCGTCTACAGTCTCTGGGGGAGGGAACCTGGTGGTTCTAATGTCGTACTATAACCCAGATACGCGCGACTGGCATCCGATGTGTACGGAGTGGGGACTCGATGCGTCGGTACAAGGATCTATCTCAAGCGAGAGCGAGCTGCACGTTATCCTCACGGCTTCCCAAGCTCTAGACCTCACTGTAACCCACGGATTACTAGAGGTTGTGGCGTCTGTAGGAGGAGCCTGGAAGCGGCGAGCAGCTTCATCAGAACACGTAGAAGACAAAGAGGAAGAGACGAAGATGGCACCGTGTGTGATACGCAATGAGACTGGACTACCGCTGAGTTTCTGGCTGAGTAATGGCTCGTTCACGACTGAACCTCAAGTTGTGGCCACTGGGAACCTCGCAGACGTCCGCTATCTGCATGCTCCAGGTCGAGGACGCGGCGTGGTGCGACGCTATGCGTCTGGAGATCGACAAGCTGCGAATCTCCGCCTCTGTCTACAGTTGAAGAACGAGAGCGATGGTGCGAGATTCCAAGCTGTTGAAGGCCTTATCTTCGAGCAATTAGGTGCTCGTACGTTCCCATTGATTGACACACACGGAGCCAAGACGAACTTCACGTTAAGCCTGTCCGCTCAACTGGTAGAAGGACGGATCTTGTTGGTTGTATCGTCGCCTATCAAGCTGGTGAACAGATTGGCGTCCGGCCGTCCTGTGGCGCTTCTGGTCAACGATCCGACCTGGCAAACACCAGTAGAGATTGGCGTCTTACGGACGAACCAGGAGTCTGCCGTGCCAGTGTTGCTGTCTCTAGCGTCCGAGCTGCGTGTCCGACCGGTGGGGAATGGCGCGACGTACTCATGGAGTGCTCCAATCCCCGTCCAGACGCGATCGGCTGTAGAACTCAAGGTAGAAGCCGCCGTGTCGTCCACTTCAGCGTCACGTGAGAGCGTCTCCAGCCACGGAGACGGTCGCAACGCCGTGTACTGCGTCTCAATGTCTAGTGACAGGGAGATGCGCGCTGTGTCATTCGCTGAGCCCTTGGTGCTCGTCAACAAACTCCCCGTGCCTTTAACGTTCCGTGTACGTTCAGCCTACAGCTCATACGGTTCAGGAACGAGTGACAGTCCGTCCAAACCCGAGACGGTCGCTGTAGGAGCCAAGACGAGTATCTGGTGGACAGACGTTGCGCAGCGTCCGCTATTCCAACTGGTTGTAGAGGGCTGTACGTCTCCGTCCAAGTGGCTGGAGCTCGCACCTCGAGGCACAGCGAATGGTGCCGCCTTATCGGTACAACTCTCTCGTGTCGATGACGGACGCCCCTTTCGACTTCTTCTTCGGGTTATTGGCGGTACGGAGCATACGGCACGCTCTGTACGCGTCGAGATACTGGCAGACGTCTGGGTTATCAACCGTTCGGGCTTAGAGCTGGTGTACGGGACTGCAGCCGATAGTGAAGCGTATATCCCGCCTCGTGCGGCTCGTGCTCAAGTGGGGAACGCCCAGATCAGTGCCTACTCGAGCGATAACAGCGGGAAAGTCCCCGTGATTCGCATTGGCGTACGTGGATGCAACTGGTCGCCGCGCTTTGAAGCGGATCCACGGAGACTGAGCTGGCAGGACGAATGTATCACTCTCCGCGCGGCTGGGAGTAATACGGGCGTGTTGTATGAGTTAGGAGTGTCTGCAGACTACGCGACGCGACATTTCGGCTCGGTTACGACGCTGATTAGCGTCATCCCGCGCTATCTGGTGCTGAACCGCTCGTCGCATACGTTGTTACTGCTTGAAGCCTCGAAGAATCGACTGGAAGACTCGAGTGATGCCAACGTGGCGCATCATGTGCTGGCATCAGGAGATATGTACGCGCTGTACTGGGTAGGGGGAGCTCGAGCTCCGTTACGTGCGTCTGTGTTACCGGCCGACGGCTCTGGCTATGACTGGAGTGCTGCCTTTGCCGTGGATAGAGTGGGCACATCGGACTTGTTAGTCCCGCCAAGATCTAGTGGACGCGGTGTGCAGTTAGAAGTGGAAGTGAAGCGAGGAAGCTTCGCACAGGCGACGTTTGTAGTGGTGGTGAGCGACGGAAGCGCTGGGTCTCCGACGTCGACGTCGTCTAGACTGTCAACTGCTGGCTCTAGCGTCTCACAGGACGTCACTGCAGGCTGGCAGACGTTTAGTCTTCACGCTCAAGTAGCAGGAGTGATCGTCACTGTTACAGACAAGAAACAAGGAGATGAATCCGGTTTGTTTGCTGGCTCGGAAGAGGAAAGTGAACCCGTAGCACGTGCGACGTTAACTCGCATCGGGTTGGAGGCGTCTTGGTCGCCGCAAGCCACGGCCGCGAAGCTGAATCTGATGGGACTCAAGGTGGAAGATCTGCTGCCACGGAGTAAGAACCGCGTCGTGTTGAGGCCGATCCTACAGACAGACGGCGTTGGCTCCAGCATGGACAAGCATTTCCTGGAACTGACGTATCTGGAGCGTCCACACGCCAAGTACACGTGGGTAGAACGTTTGCATTTGGACGTACAGAACGCGAAAGTGTCGACGTCCATGAGCTTTGTGGATCGACTGATTAAACTCCAGAAAGAGACGATCGCGCACTTCCAGCACAAGTCGCTGAACTCAGCGTTCTCCACTGACGACGAGGACATGGAAGGAGACTTGCTGGCCTATTTTGTGCCTCAGAACGGAGAAGAAGGCACGGATATGGCAGCTATGACCGGGAGGAAGTTGTACATCGCGTCGGGGGAGATCTCACCTGTCCGTGTCGTCGTGAGCTTCACGCGGGACAAGAGCGACGCTGGTAACGCAGGCTTTTGGCTGTCGAATCTCAAGTTGAAGATCGAGAACGCCTGCGTCACGTTAGAAGGGTATAAACTCTCGCACGCGCTGGCTACGCAGGAGTCTCTGGGTGCTGCGATCGTGAGGTTTTACGAGCAATCTGTCAAGTCTCAGGCACTTAATCTAATCGATTCTATCGAGGTGACGTCGCTGGTGACGAGTATGGTGACAGGAGGTGTCACGTCGTTAGTATCCACGCTTAGAGGCAAAGCAGACCCGGCTGCAGCCGCCGGTGCCATGGCGCCTGGACTACTGACGTCTAGTGTCGATGGGGACAGTTCACTGGGCGCTCCGTTCCGCTACGAGCACATGTCGAATGGAGATATCGTTCGGAAACACTCCAAAGCGTTGGGAGAATGCCACAATAGTGCAGAGTTCTTAAGACAAGTACGACATTTAGTGTACGACTGGGACGCCAACCATACAGGCCTGGAGGCACGTGGCTGTGTGGTGCTCGCTCTGATCAACAACTCTCGCCACTCGTTAGTAGTCAACACTCAGCTGAACGATGGCGCGTCGCTGAAAGTTCTCCCGCTTGGACGACGACACCTGGCCAGTGTGTTGGAGACAGGAGCTGCGTCAAACGGAGAGACGAACTGGAGACCAGACCGTGCGCTTGTGGTGTTCGCATACGGCTACACACCGACGCTTCTGACGTCGGGGGACGTGTACTTCACAGTGCAGTCGAATGCGTGTCATGTGTACGCTACACGCAAGACCGCTCGACTCAAAGCGAACAGAGGATACACGGCTACATTCACGCTTCAGGAGACTCAAAGCTGGTGGTCTGCGAACGTGGTGATCATCGGGGATGACTTGCAAGTGAGCGACAGCTCTGCGTCCGACTCGGATTCGCTGTTTGGAGAGGCACCAAGTGGTCAGGACAGCGAGGAGTACGAGGTGGAGTTCGCAGAGGCATCGCTGGGTCTCGTCGCCAAGCAGAGTGGACGATCGGTGATCGTACGGGAGTGCGTACCGTCCAGTGCAGCTGAAGCTTCAGGACGCATCGCTGCGGGTGACTGCATCCTAGCCGTGAACGGAGTGAGTGTAGCCAACACGTCTCAGTTTAAGACACTGGTGAGCAAAGCACCAAGGCCGGTCGTTCTGCGGTTCCGACGCAGCTCTAATGCAGCGTACGATCTCTTCGGCGAGCGCTAACAAGAATAATTAAGAGAACCATTTTAGAACGCTCTAAATATTGCGCAGTTTCAACTAACCAACCTGTCCACTATTTGGTGTGTTTTAGAGCGAGATGAACAGCGTCATCCAGCTACCAGCACGATTCAAGAGAAATGACAAGAAGGAGATTAAGAATGAGGTATCGACAACGTCCACGCTGCGTGACAAGCTCCAGTCGGTGCGATCCAAGCGAGTGACGACGTTTTTCCGAGCCAAAGCAGCACAACGCGCTGGGATTCGATATCTGACGTCGGTGGTCGGTAGCAACAGCGACGCTGTGTTGACAGTTCTACGATCTCTACGTCAGCTCGCACGCGGTTTCTTTACTCGTAAATTAGAGAAGTTGACGGCGTTCATCGGTCAGAAATGGAGGAAATTGTGGACACTCATCGGTTATAAGAGTGTAAAGAGTATGATGCAGAGAACATTGGGGAGAACATTTGGTCGGAGTAAAGACAACGAACGACAGCACGCGCGCATGTATCAATGTTTGTGTCGGGCGTTGGCTCGCTTGGGGCGATCGGCTATTGCTACTGCTCGTAAGCGACGAGTAATTGAAGATACAGGTAGAATAGCACGAGAAACAGTAGATGGAGTGATGAAGGAGGTAGCGGTGAAGGTTGCGGCTATGCGAGAACGTGAGCGTTTGGGAATTCACGCTCGAGTGATCCAAAGACTGTGGAGACACGTGAAGAATAGTGAACAAGCTGGTGTTGAAGCTAAAGTGCGGCTGTTGAGTTTACTCACGAATTTACCTCCGATACTTCGTGAGTATCAACAGACTCAACGACAAAGGCTGCAGACTGTACACGAAACTAGTGTAAACACTGTTGCGTATTGCATCCGTCGTGCAGCCCAGCGGTTAGCTGCACGACTGGTTCAACGAGTATGGCGAGGTTATTGTGCTCGGAAAAGAGTTCGTCGAATTCGCGAGTGGAAACGGAAGAAGTTTGTGCGTCAACGACAACGGGAACGTCTGCGAGAGGCTCGTGGGGCGTTGCTGGAGCCTTCGGAAGCGGAGAAAACACGACGTAAAGTAGTGAAAACTCGGCTGCTAGCTCGTCAAGAGATGCCCCTGCCTGTACCTCAGGGTCGATACCAACGTAGAAGAGGTGAACGAGTTTCACTACTGGAACCTTTGCCATTACAGTCAAGACCGCCACATACTTCTTATACTGGTACTAAAGTGCAGTGCGTGCCCTTCAGTCGCTTCGAGAAGATAGTTGCTCAAGATGCGCGTGTAAATCTGAGTAATGTGTGGGTAGCGATTCCAGTTGGACACCAGGAATTACCACTTGAAAGAGAGGAATTAAAGCGAGGGTTAAGTCCTTTACTAGTAGGAAAAGGAAGGAGACGGCAGAAAGGAGCGCTACAGACAACGTACGACTGGGTACCCGCTCATCTACTGCAGAGTAAAGCAGAGAGAGACGCAACAGCATTACGAAGACAACGCGCAAGTCCGTCTGTATCCAAGACTATCCTCGACTTTTAACTTTAACCTGAACGGTACAAGCGATAACCGGCGTAAATGACCCCCGGTACGAAGAACGCGACCATGAGAATAGCAGACATGAGACTGCTGAGAGCGTAGAAGGTAATGTACCCGAACATGAACGTCGGTATGACTGCGATGACGTACAGCACTGGTATTCCTCCAGGAACTTTGGTAGGACGGGGGATGTAGGGCAACTCACGTCGTAGTTTGATGATCGCAGCGATGATAACCAATTGAACGGCAGCGGAACAGGCGTTGGTCATGGCTAACATACTGTCAAAGTCCAGTCCTACCAACCCCACCATGAGCACGAGAGTGAGAATGCTGGCATTAAATGGACTCTGGAACTTGGCACCTCTCTTGGATAAAATCTTCGGAACGAGGCGGTTCTCAGCCATTCCGCTGACGAGGAACGTCATGACATGCACCGCTGCCATACACATGCCGGCAGTCCCGCAGCACGACGCGATCTGGATCAAAGCTTGCAGGAATTCCCCTCCGACGTAGTAGGCGAAGAACGGGAACGAGTTACGATCCAGCATGATCCACGACTGCGCGTCAGTCACGATCCCAGCGGTCATAGGAACTACGTAAGTGACGAAAATAAGGAGAAACGTTATGGCAATGGCCCGTGCGTAAGAACGAGCTGGATTCTGCACTTCACCACCGAAGACGGAGGCGTTGTGCATCCCTTTGAACTTGAAGAAGAGCGCGTTCAGCAAGTTCGTCCAATGGATGTCGATATCTCCAGTCATAGCGACGTCTCTAGTGTTGGGGTTGTATGTGATATTCTCATGGCGCATCTGGAAGAGATCGTCCAAGTCTGAAGACTCCACAATGGCCCAAACCGTGAATACGGTGAAGCAAGCGATCAACTAGTAGGCTCAGTCGACCCACACTGTTAGTTCCTAGCAACGTTGGACCTGTTAAGATAATCGCAATTGCTGCTTTGATGCCGTATGTTGCAACGGAAGACTCGATTTCCATGTTGTAGTATCGGGTAAGTAGACTCAGTAGTGTTCCAGGCATCAAAGCTCCTCTCAACACACCAGCAATCCATGACCAGTATCCCACTTGAAAAGCCCAGAAGGGGCCGAAAGCGTTCAACACCCAAACCGTGAATCCACCGTCTTCTGGGAATGCTGAGCACAGTTCAGCTACGATGTAGGCAAACGGGAATGCGACGAAGAAAGCGTAGAGGATAAATCCTGATAGACCAATTAGAGGACCTGCTGAAGAGACGACGTCTTCGGATCCGATGGGACCAGCGCAGAGATAGACGTACAGAATGGACACGATACCCACGACCCCAAGACGACGGTGGTTTACTTGTACGGGATCGAACAAAATCGGAGACGGATCGGTGATTTCAACTTTGTCGAAGGTTCCCAAGCCACTGTTAATAGAGCAACGAGGCTGTCAGTGCGTGTATTTGGGATTCGTTGGAAAGGTATTTTCTTACACGAATGAAGCTGCAGGAGCGTAGAGCGTGATATTCACATGGGGTTCGACACCCTTTAGAGTGTTGTCTTCTAGCATTGGAAGTGCTATGGTGCCAATGGTGTTTAATATCTGCTTGGTCAGATCGGATGTGTCGAGTGTGGCTCGCCAAGATGCCGTGGCAGAGCTGTTTACAGTCACCGCTTCATTGCAACTGGTTGGTGAGGGTAGATGTAGAAGAACTGTTTACGGACATCCAGTAACCATAGGGACACTCAAAAGCGGTCAGCATCCCAGTGAAGCAACTGCGGGCGTCTGTAAACTCGACTTTCTTATGACTTGTAATGCACGCTTCCACGATGGTTTAGGAGGGCTCGATTGAAAGGGCATCTGGCCAATACGTATAGTTACTTTCCGAAAACAATTGAATTGTCATTGGGTCAAGGCGCAGGCTAGAGATGAAATCCGTAGAGTGCAACGGCTGCGGTGACTTCACTGGGGAGGAATGTAGCGATTGACAGACATTGTTGCCATCTGGTACACTTGATACCAAAACGGTCTGAGTGGGTCGGTTAGCTGACAGCAACACCAAATTCCATCGTCTAGGTCCTACACCTAGACTCTAGGTGTTTTGAGTTTGCTCGAAACTTGGTCTTGCCGAAATGAAGATGCAAAGGAGCTTTATTTTTCAAGAGCAGGGAAACGAAATACACAAGTTAAAAGGGATGAAGTCTACACCACGATATCATACATTGACAGTTTACAGAAACTTTGACTCACAACAAACACTAACTCCTTCACAAGCTGCTCTACGGTAGCATGGGGCACGGTTCTTGAGGATCCACACTCAGTTGTTTGGCTTCCAGCAGACACGACTTGCAGCACGCTACGGTCACGGGCTGAGGTCGAGCAAAGAGCCGACGCTTGACATGGCACTTGATGCAGACACCTCGGAGACACACGCCACAGGTGCGGTGGGTAGCGCCTACGATCGACGCCATGGCTGGTTTCTTGGAGCACACACAGCAGGGCTCAGCCGAAGCTTGTCGTCGAGAACGGGACTTCCGGTGGCCCTTGGAGAGCAACCGAGACAAAGTCGGCGGCATCGCAGCGATAACGTTCACCACCTCCGATGAGAGACTGGACGCCGAGTTGGAATATCCAGAAGGGGTCGAGTCTCCCGTCAATTCAAAGTCTTCCAAGTCTAGCGTGGACATGTCGTCGATTGATGAAGACGCCGAGTTCTCCGCTTTCTGCATTGCCAGGAGAGTGAGTCGCTTGGCTTCAGCGCTGTCCATAGCTCCAAGGACAGATAACATCAAGGAACAAGAAGAATTGTACACGAGGAATGAGGGGATATCACCGCCCAAGTCGAACATTCCCTTCGCATACACGTCCACAATGTGCGACCCCGGTACTTGACGGTAGATGCAGCAGAACATCATGTGCGCTCGGATGACGTCGCAGTCCTCGGGAGGTGGCGGGCATCCAGCAAAGTCCACGCTTTGGAGTAGGTAGTAAGCGTACCGTTCGCCCTGAGCATCGGTACTCGTTCCCATGGACTCTAGTGTGCATACATCGCGGAGTTTCATGATCTTCGCCTCTGTGAGAGCATCAGTGAGATTCCATTTCAGCGAGAGCTGACGATACGGGTCTGTCGGCGAGCTGCCTTCGAGTTTAGCGAGCATCGCGCAGTCCACGTGGCCTTTACTCAAGTAGGGCAGCGTCACTTGCATTTCTTCTCGAGTCTTGGCGTGCACGCCGTAGAGAACGTCTTCAAGCTCTCCAGCGATAGAACCAACACAGAGAACCATGGGTCGTTTGGACTTTGTGGCGCTGCGGCTCTGATCCTGAGTCTTTGAAGCCCTACGCTTGTAGATACTGAGCTCATTCTGGCGCTTCAATAGCTTCCAGTCGCGTTGACTCAGCTCTGGACGCTTCGTGCGATGATACTCGCTTTCGTGAGCCAGTGTTCGTGAGACGATACTGTGAGCGAGATGACGGAACGCTTGAGTCTCGCCATCAGGAAGCTGCATCAACGGGGTCTCCTTGGGGATTTCAACCGGAGAGGTTGTGTATTTTGCTTGATGCAATAGTTCTTGTACCTCTTCGGGGGCGGTAGCTCGTCGTGTTGCCTCCGGTGCTGGAAATGGGCGTTGAGCTGGTAGTGACTCCGCCATGGCGGTGGTTTATAGTGGAGATTGCGTTGGACAAGAGGAGAATTACCGAGTGAGATGAACTCGGTTGGTGCGAGAGTGAGTGGAGGTCCGCCCCAGCAAGTTCCGAAGAGGTGATGGAGGCTCATAGGCGACGACATCTGCTTCCAATGTGGCGTGCTGCGCTCAAAGTGAGCTTGCTATGGGCTCCAAAACACAAGACGCAACTCGGCTGGCAGGTGACATGCGCTTAGATTGAACAGGCTTTGTGCCCAGAACGCCATGTGGCTCATAATCGACTGGAACGCTGATAGATTCACACCAAATGGCGAATTTGAAATGCTGCATGAGTCAATGCCATTGACTCACGCAGTTGACCGCCCGACGGGATCAGAACGGGCACATCAAGTGAACCAGCCAGCTGCCTGCAACGGTTAATCGTTCGTCTCTCACCACTTGAAGTGAATTACTTCGCCGTTGCAATCGAGCAACCAAAACATAGTTGACGAACCTCCTCACTTCCCGGTTCCAACATTCAGCATCCATGAGTCAGATCCGGACATGGATATGGACAAAGCAAGCTTGCGTGCCTACTTGCCCGAGAGATGGTCACGTAGCAGATGGAGACGAATCCTCGTCAAGTGCATGTACCGGAAGCAACCAATCTGTAAAGTCACAGATCAAAGCGGTTGACGCGAACGGCTTGCCCCATTATACTAGCGCCAGCCGTTCGCGTCAACCGCTTGATGTCGGTCGGAGCTTTTGTACCATACGACATTCCAATCGAAGCGTCTTGAGTTTTTTTTAAACTTAATAGCGAAAGGACGTACTAATTTACAAAGGTAATCAAACGACCAGAGCATCTGGCTGTGTCGACTTTCTCCCTATGCTCACAAAATGCCTGCCTCTGTCTTCACGAAGCAGTTGCTTCGTAGAACAGAGTGTACCAGCTGATCGTTGTCTAGAGGGATCTCCAGAGAAGTCTTTACCACGGCCTCGTCGCTAGCGTCCACCTTCAGTACAACCGATCTGACCGAACAAATACAATTGCAACTCCGGGCTTTCCGATGCTGGAAGAGGGCGACCCAAAGCTCGCCGCACCCAACACGTTCTACGCTCCTCGCGAGGACGCCGCGCCCTTGGGACCCTTTGTGTGAGTAAAAATCCATTCATTGACACCACCAACAAGCGACTGACACGACTTCATTTGCTTGTCATTGTAGCGGACACTTCGATAAGGTTGACATGATTGAGCCGTCTCCGAGTTTGTACGATCGAAGACAAGCGCTGGCAGTAAATCACCGTCGTCTTGGAGTCGTAGGCATTGTTTCTATTCTCTACGTCTACCTGTGCGCTGGTCCCATCGGATCTGAGGCTGTCATCTCGGCCGGTGGACCTCTCATCGGTCTCTTGGGACTCTTACTTTACGCTCTCTTGGTCGCATTCCCGTTTGCCTACATTGTAGCTGAACTGTGCTCAGCATTTCCAGAAGACGGTGGATTTACGGTTTGGGTGTTGAACGCTTTCGGTCCTTTTTGGGCTTTTCAAGTTGGGTATTGGTCTTGGGTGGCTGGAGTGTTGAGAGGAGCGTTGATGCCTGGAACGCTGCTGGGTCTACTCACTCGATACTACAACATCGAGATCCAGTCGTCCGTGGTTTCATACTTCATCAAAGCAGCAATCGGAATCCTCCTAGCCATCCCCACATTTCTGGGCACAACTACTGTTGGTCGACTAAGTATCGTAGTGACTGGGGTGGTGGTCCTTTGCTTCACCGTATTCACGGTTTGGGCAATTGTGGAGTCTTCAGACTTGGACGATCTGTTTGAAATACGACGAGAAAACATCGAATACGACGCAGATACACACGATGTGGTCACGACGGGTGATGTGGATATCCAATGGACGACTCTCCTCAATACACTCTTCTTCAAATTCAAAGGCATGAACAACGCCTCTGTTTTCGGCGGTGAAGTGCAGAATCCAGCTCGCTCGTACGCACGGGCAATTGCCTATACCTGTCTCCTCATCCTCTTCACGTACCTGATCCCAATGACCGCTGGTATCGTGTCGGACGCGTTGCCGTGGTTCTTGCTTGATCGTGATTCGTTCCCGTTCTTCGCGTACTTCGTCGGCGGAAAGTTCCTCCGCACACTGATCCAGATTGCGTCGTGCTGTGGCTCCGCCGGTATGTGCATGGCAGCCTTGCACGCTAAGACTTTTCTCGTTAGTGGGATGGCCGAGAACCGCCTCGTTCCGAGAGTATTGGCCAAACGTAGCACCAGGTTCCAGAGTCCAAGGAATGCTGCGCTCTTGACTCTCGTGCTCATGTTGGCGTTAATCAACTTGGATTTCGACAGCATGCTCACCATGACAAACGCGTATTCTGCTGCTGTTCAGTTAGTTATCATCGCGTCGATCATCAAACTACGACGCGAGTTGCCTTACATCGCTCGACCGACTAAAGTTCCTGGAGGAATTCCAGTTCTGTTCGCAATTGCAGTTGCGCCAACGTTCATGTTCTGCTACATCACCTTCTACGCCCTCAGCAGCATGGTATCAGCTATTCTCATGCTCGCCTTCTTCGTACCCGGAGTCGTTTATGCGGGCTATCGTTTTTACTACCGTCGTTCACTGGCATAGCCCAAAGATTGCTTAAAGTAAGAGTTCTAAACCTAGATGGTGTTAGACCTTTTCATTAGATTTCGATGTACAGCGTTGTCGGTTCGTTCCTACGATGCCAATTCACTGGAGCGGTGTGCGAGGCAGTGGACGATCTTGTTCTGAAGCTTGTGAGCAACCCAGACGTAGAGCGGAAGTCAGGACCTTGGGGAAGTCACCGAGAGCAAGCACCGTGTCGTGCTCATCGAACGTGAAGATGGGCGGAGGACACGTCACGTGTGGCAGGGACTGCAGTTGGTACACCTCGTCGGCCACGAGGAGGAAGCCGTACTTGACACTGAGGTCTACAAGACGCTTACGCTTCTCGACACTGAGCGTACGACCTGTGGGGTACGTAGGGATAGTGTAGAGAATACTAGGAGCAACGCAATCGCTCGAGCTCGTCCGTGACCGTCTACTCCTCCCCCTGGATCTTAAGCAGACGCTCGAGCTCGTCGATGACCGGTCCGTCGTCCTCCACCTTGATCTTAAAGTTCTGCATGACGCAGTAGGTCACGAATAGCTACTCCGAATCCACTTCGTCCTGCTATCCCTTGGTCAGGAACTCAGCGAGAGCTGACGGAACTTGGTTGGGCTCAAGTCACATCGTACTAAAACAGCGCGATGCCTTCAACATGGTGTGTCGACACACAAGTTACACATGCATTCAGCATGGCTGGTATCGCCTGGCCAACCATTGGCTCGCAGCCTTTTGCAATCAGCTCCCCAGCTTTTTCACAATAGAATACGTCCGTCAATTAGAACCGATGTCTTCGCTGACGCTGTCGCTACCGACGCCCCCCGCGGACGCAAAGGAGTCCAAGGTTGTGCTTGGCCTGGGCGGCTACTTCGCCCAGAAGCGCGTGGAGCCTGTGGGCCGCGCCTTCAACAAGCGCGCCCGTAACATGGCCCGTGGCCGCTCGGCCAGTTGCGAGGAGCTGGACGACGCCACCAAGGCGCGCGAGACTCTGCGCAAGCAGGAGGAGTCGATTCTGCGCAAATACCGCCGCAGTATCCGCGGCAAGAACTTCTTGGATCTGACCATGTACCAGCAGTTGGGCCTGGCCGACGTGGGCTTCGACGTGACGGACGAGCAGGTGAAGAAGGCCTACCACCGTGTGCTGATCGAGCACCACCCCGACAAAACGGGCAAGACGGAGAATGACCCCAACTACTTGGCCGTCCAGAAGGCCTTTACCACGCTCATGGACCCGCAGAAGAAGCGCGCGTACGACTCGCAGTGCGACTTTGACGAGTGGATCCCCACGGGCAACGAGAAGATCAAGGAGAACGACGCGAACGGAGAGGGCAAGAGCTTCTACGAGCTGTACGGCCCCGTGTTCACGGCCAACGCCCGATTCAGCGAGAACAAGCCTGTGCCCGAGCTGGGCGGCGACGATAAGCCCATTGACGAGGTGTACGCCTTCTACGACTTCTGGAACAAATTCGACTCGTGGCGCGACTTTACGCACGACTCGGAGCACGACGTGGACTCAGCCGAGCACCGCGACCACAAGCGCTGGATGGCCAAGAAGAACGAGGCCGCGGCCAAGAAGAAGAAGAAAAAAGAGTACGCTCGTCTGGCCAGTCTGGTGGACCGCGCGCTGGCCAACGACCCGCGTATCCGTCGCGTGAAGCAGGAGGAGAAGGACCGCAAGGCCCGTGCCAAGCGCGAGAAGGAGGAGGCGGCCCAGCGTCTCATTGACGAGGAGAACCGCAAGAAGGAGGAGGCTGAGCGTGCGGTCAAGGAGGCTGAGGAGAAAGAGAAGGAGGCCCGTAAGGACGCCAAGATGGCCAAGGAGAAGCAGAAGAAGCTGTTCCGTAAGGTCAAGAAGGCCTTCCGCGAGCTCATGACGGCCGCTCACGAGCAGGGAGTGGAGGGGTCCATCGACGTCATCAAGACGGAGGACCTGTGCGACTCGCTCGACATGGACGCGCTGCAGGCCCTCGTGGCCGCCTGCGGTGGCTCTGCCGACAAGCTGGACGCGTCTGGCCTGGCTGCCGTCAACGAGGCTCTGGCCAAGCTGTAAAGCAGCTACAGCTCGCTGATTTGATAGACCCAAAAGAGCAAGATCTGATCAGAGTAACTACAGCTTCATTAACATACAGGAAATATCCGCATCAAGTTGCAACCGTGTTCATTTTGCCGCTGGTAGAAGTCTGCTCGTGCTTTCTGGGGCTACTACTCACGACGGCCTGCACTGTCGTCCCCACGAAGATGGCGGAGACACCGCGGATCGTGGCCTCTCGAGTAATTTTGATCTTTTGACCGGTCTTGTGATCTTCTTGCTGTGCGAATTGCAGGCGCTTGCGTGGCGTGCAGGGTCTAGATCGGCACAGGTGAGAGAAGAACGTCATTGAATCGCATGCTACGCTGGCTGCGTACCTTTCGGGAAGTGCTGCGTTTTGCATCGCTGTCGAGTGGGGTTTTCTGGGCTGCGGGCTGCCGGACAAGTTGGGAAGTGCCACAAGTGCTGTGCAGCAGACTTACTGCGTTTTACTGGACAACAGGTTATCTATATCCGCCACTTGATGATGGAAGCTATGATAAGAACCAGAAGCTGTTCGGTCTTCAATTCCTTACACGTCATGACTCATCCACGGCAATGAAGCGCGTCGTGATTGAATACTGGTATGCATAATCGACTCGTTCGTCTGCAGATCTAAATTCATGGGCTCACAGAATCTAAGGTCTTGGAAGCTATTGATACGCTGAACGGCACTGGACTCACTTCCGGGAGGGTGGTGCCGTCACAGGTGTGCAATTAGAGTGAAGGTTGAGCACTTCTCCGTGATCCTAAAGCTCGACTCACAGGCTTTATCGGTTCAACATTTGGATCGTAACAGCAACAATGCTCTTGTGCAGTTGTGACTTTTCCACAGTTAAGAACCCCAGAATAGGAATATTTGACTTCAAATGTATTCCATTTTACGATT